ATTTTTATTATACTATGTTTCAATACACATGATTACATGTAAACTATAGAGGCTTACTGTTCAATGACAAGCAAGCAAACAATGAAAAATGATGAGCCAATAAATTGTACTGCATTTGTACATGATCAATTAAAGTAATTAAGATTTTACTTATATTCTCTCTTCTGATTATTTCCTTTTCCTACCCTACTCCATTCTAATGAACTTAACCTTAATTAAGTTACCACTTTTCCATTTACAGTAACCATAAAGGCAACGATAAATGCCCAAAACTAATCTAGAATAATTACTAAAGTTTTTTTTTTTTATATTAAAGCAGACATGAGACAATTACGGTAGCCAATGTTGGCTTTTTTATAACAATAAAATTTAAAGGGAAAAAAAAATTTAAAAAATCGGTGATTTAAAATTTTTTTAAACAAATTATTTCATTCAAAAAGTGAATATTTTATATTTTGAATTTAAGACAATTTCATGTAAAATCTTTCAATTATCAATTTCGTACAGCTAGCTATATTGTAACAATGATCAGTGCCAATTTTAATAAAATGTGAAGACACATTCAGTTAACTACTTCAGCAACATAAACCTGCTCTAGGCTTGTCATTTACAATACCAAACCCCTGAAGGGTACTTTGTTGTGTTTTGTTTGGAATCACTTTTCATTACAGTGGCACTTATTCAAAATGATTACTGCACAGATCCTACCGTAATAATAATAATAAAATAATAAAGTATATAGTGCCTTTTACAGTATATTATATAGTATAGTTAAAAAGCGCTTGCATCATGCACATAGGAACCTCAAATCTGCTTTATAATAGGCCTATAGCTTATTCAGAAAGTTTTTTTGATTAAATAACAGCAATAAATTTAAATGGCAAATCAAAATTACAAAATCTTAAGAAATTCATCATCTGTCTCTGCTCTAGCGAAATCCTGACCCCTTACCTGGTGCATCCAGAAGAGAAAAATTTAAATAAATTGAGAAGAAAAAATGACTTAACTACAATATTTTTATCATGCTTTTTCAATCATTATCTGGTATAAACTATATATGTATTATTAGTAATTTATAGACAAGACTGTAAAATTAGGCATGTGCGGGGAATATTTCCTCCCTGCAAAAATTGGGCCTAAAAATCTTCATTTCATAAAATAAGGGCCAAATTCTGTGCAGACTTGGTACTTGAGCTGGATTTGATGTATTATCCACGCAATTAAAATACTTTACAGTAAAAAGGAACTTGTGCGAATTACTGTAGTAGGCCGTGATTAGTGGAATTATGCAATACGATGGCAGTTTGACTGTTGAAGAGCACGCTCCTAAAAATGCACAAATCTTACTATGTTTTAATATGCAGATGATCTTTTTCTTTCTCCTTTTTTTCGAAATTTTTCTGGTGTTTGTTCGTTTTTTTTTTTTTTTTAAATTTAGCTACCCGTGGAGCACATCCGATTAAGGGCACAGGTTGTTACAATCCCAAATAGGAAAGTGTGACCTATCAGAAAAAAAAAAATCAGGGTCATATGGGGCCTTTTCCGAGACTTTGATTAGTTAATTTACAAAAAAAACAAACACTCGGGCGATGTTCTCCAATAATTTCCGATTCAGAATACAGAATTCCCACCTTCAAAAAACTTAGCAGTGATATGTTTAGAACGTTTCCAATTTTAATAAAATACGAAAAAAATAGAAAATAACTCATTCTCATATAAAAAATATGAAAATATAGAAGACTAATACAGTAGGACAGCCGATAGACGATTTGTCCGTTATATCGCGATTTTTCGATCTTACTTCCGCATTTGCTTTGCGCAGCGTCACCTATCGTTTAAAAGCGTAACCACGTTTTAGCATCGCTTAGCAAAAATGCATCAGCTCTATAATTTATAGTTCTCAATAGATAAGGCCCGCCTATGGTTTCCTTATATGGTAACAATATTTCCAAATATGTCTTTTGCTAACCAATTGGTTTTTCTCGGAAAAAAGACCTACGCTGGCATAAACATTGACTGGTTGATGTTGACACAGGCGAAATAGTGAAAATCTTGTACGTTGATGTAATTTAATAAGACTCAATGCCCCGAGTGTTTAAATACCCTAAGCTACAGTAGGTAGAGTCTGAGCTACTCTAGGCCGTGATATGAGTGATGTGTCATCACGTAGCCTATCAGGACGTATCCATGGAGAGGAGACGTCACATCTAAAGTCGGGCACCCACTGCATCGTACGACCTTAAAACAACCCTTTCCACGCTTTGTCGCGTTGCATTCTTCATAGAATCCCGTTGTGTGCAGCGAGTGCCCAGCTTTAGGGAAGGCTTAGCCAGGCTGTACGAGCGATGCACACATTCAAAATAGGCCAACGTGCGTAAATATCGAAAAAATTTTATTTGATTAAATTGAAGAAGGTTCTAGGCTTAACTCTGTAACTATTCAACCAATTTCTGTCATCTAATTCTAACAAAACAGTAGATTCACATCAATGTGTTCTTTCCATTGAATTAACGCCGTGGCTAGAGATACGGTACCATATCGGAATTTCCGATTGCTAAAGGTACGGTAAATGATATTACGCCATGATTAGCCAATAGAAACGCTGATATATGCGTGACATCATTCAGTGCACTGCACTGCTGCTGCAAGAATAGTGTTTTTTTAGATGGTTTTAGCAACGATCGAAGATAAGAAATTTCGTTCGTTCGCGTGTGTTGTTGACAAGCTGTGATTAATATTCTGTAGCCCGAGGCCCTATAGCAAATAAAAAGGATAGCAGTTTTGCTAGATTTGGCGACATCAAGCGACTGAGTAAACTATTTTGATAGTAGAAGCCAGACCTAGGCCTTGCTACCCCTGCTACTGTGCAACTAATTCCCTGTAGTATTATATATAGTTTTCTAGGTATGAGTAGTTAATTGTATGCTTCAAATATTTACTCTTACTGTGTTTATGTATAATTGAGTGTTAGTCGATTGTATTCATGTGTTGTAATATTCTTTTTTTAATCAATGATTGTTAAGTCGCAATTTCTTGCATCTGAGATAGGCCTATCTAAGTGCCTGAAGCAGTGCACGTTGTATTGTTAGGCTAGCCTACATACATTGTAATACCACTATTGAATTAAATGATGTTACACATTTCTGTTGTTAGTGTACTACCTGTAAGGTGGTATGAGTTTATACTTGATAATAAGTTAAGTATGATTGTTAACTAATACAAGAGTACCGTAAGTCAGAGCATGGTTAAATTAGCTTTGTTACCGTAGGTCTGGCATGATTATCAATGCTTGGATTCCCCGCTGTGATTTTAATTGATCTATGGCTTTACAGCTGATAGCGAATCCATCCATAGAGGGTGCCGTAATGTAAACAAACAAGTAAGATGGCGGTGCCCACGATAATTCAGCGTTCGATGTACATAACGATCTTTCACGTTATAGTTTATGACTTGTTATGTTCGATGTTAAGACTTAATTATTTGCTATGATTTATAAATGATTGTAACATGATGATGGAATGCTATATATATAGAACAAATATTGGTATAATTACTTATTCTAGTAACGAGAACTTGGAGACAAGCTGAGCGAGGCTTGGGAATATTTGATGTGTGTAGCAGTCTTTGATTATAGACTGGAGGCGGAAATCGCTACCTGTGTACAGAGTTGGATTCAGGTACAAAATTATTATGATAGTATCGATTACAACTATTTTATTTAACATAATTGGCTATTTTAATGTGTTAAGCATTGATGAGTTTATTGATTCCTTGTATTTTATTCTTTTATATTAGTAGTATGTTAATTACTTATTCTATAATTACTGCAAGTGACCCTTTTATGAGTATTCATTCAGTGTGGTTATAATGTGATGTAAGAATGATTTATTTATCAACAAATTATTATTTTCTTTATTTGTTTTACTGTATGCTGGTTGTGTGAACCAGGTGGGTGGAGTACCCTATATGCTATCCTGTTGGGAGGATAGGGGTTAATAATTTGTGTAACCGTGAGGAAATTTGAGTTTGATGCTTATGTTGTACTGTACTATGATTCCAGAAACAGGGAATCAGGGGGAATGTTCATGGTGCATTGTGCAGTTAAACATATGCTATAGTAATTATGTAGTTCTGATTAGCAGTCTATGCTACAGTAAATGGTGTTTAACAATGAAGAGTAATTATTATTATTGCACAACTTGGTGTGTTGCTAGGACCATTACGTATGTTAACCTTATAATTTATACTGATACATGCATGTTTTAGTAATGTTTCAGGGGTTTCTTCTCTTTCTGTATTCTGTTGATACTGATTGTCTGACTGAGAACCACAATAAAAGGAGAACTTGCAACTCCATGTCTTTGTCGCTCATTTCTTGTCGACACAACCAGTGAGGTGGACACCCATCCCATGACACTACAGTACTAGGCCTTAGCCTAGCCTAGTAGTACGCCTATAATAAGCATTGGCCCCTAGGCGGGTATTCAGCCTATGCCCTAGGCCTAAGCCTAAGTAGACCATTCTCTTTGGTAGACCATAAAATACGCAAGAATAACAGAAAGGACGTTTAACCCAAACATTGTGATAAGCCCCAATCGAAGTAGGCCTACATGAAATGGGCCTAGGCTATTATGACATAAAATTGATCGTAACTGTTCGTGCCATATACACATTTCTCATGATCGCGACGTCGACTTTGCAAAAAAGCCAAAAAAATCAAGTCGGTCATTTCTATTGGCTAATCATGACATAATATTTAGCAATCGGAAGTTCCGATACAGTACCGTATCTCTAGCCACAGCGTTGAATTAATGTGAAACTAGGCCTAGCCTATATTTGAAGTCAATTGAATGATATAATTTTTTGTGTGCTACTACCTAGCTACCTAGGTCCTACTAAGCTAGTTACAGTAGGCCTAGGCCCCCTAGGCCTAGTAACGTTCTTATTAACCGGGCTTATAATAGGCCTAGCCTGGGCAGACAGCAGCAGGGCCTACTCACACTTCCAAGATGCGGTCTCCCTTCAGGATTCCGGCCTTCTCTGCAGCGCCTCCTTCCAAAACCGCACTAACATGCTGAAGAGGTGCATACAACTCTCCATTTATGCTTTTCAGCTGACCACCTTCACTGACTTGACCACGGACGTTAAATCCAAAGCCAGTTTCACTTTTGTGAATAGTAACAACGCGAGGTTTCGCAGTTTCTTCACTTCCCGGATTGTTAGACTCCGCCATGATTACCCTGGATGGATGGATTGCGACGAAAGTCATGTGACACTACGCTTAAAAAGTACAGGGTGTAGAGGACGCTGTTCTAAAAAATGTGTTTTTATCATCTGGAAAAAGAAAGAAACTACCACCAGATGAGGGACAAGGCCAAGTTGCTATAAAACGATTTTCAAAGAGGCCCGCACAATGAGTAATAAGGTACTGTCAGTGCTGGTGGTGCTACATGTTTAGCATCATAATATTTAAGAACGATTTCAACTATTTGTATACATTTGCTTGTCAATTTTCAACCACAAACATTTGATTTTCTGGGGCTAGGCCTAGGCAAGGTAGGGAACCAAGGTCGGACGGCCTACTGATGGAATAGGCTACACTATAATTGGGACTATGGACGACTGGGCCCTTTTTCAAGAAGGATTTAACAACTGATAAACAGTTTTTTAAAATGATGATGATAAAAAGAAAATGAAAGTATAATATAGTTTATATAACAGGAAGTGATACTGTATAAGAAAAGCATATAAAGGTTTTAGAAAACATTGCTGAATTACCTTTTTTTTCTATTTTAAATTAAATGTAGGTCAAAGCTGAAGAAGAGAAGAACAAAGGCAATGAGTGTATGAAATCTCAGAACCCAACAGAAGCTGTCCTTCATTACACAACAGGCATTAAGCTGGATGGGAAGGATCACCGTTTGTTTAGCAACCGTTGCTTAGCATTTTTACAAATCCAACAATATTACCTTGCTTTACAAGATGCCAAAACAGTTATCAAGCTGAATCCTGATTGGCCAAAAGTATATATTCAGTATTTTCTCAAGACGTATTTTTCTCAAAGCATCAAAAATCTTGTTTAATTAATTAAAATTTTATTTGTGGTCATCCTTGATAAACTCCTCCCTCAACTCATTATCTGGTGGTACAGTATCATCCCTGGTCAATTAGTGTTATATTGCTGTTGCTTTTTTTTTTTTGCAAGTTTCCTATAGAATTTAAAACTACTAGTGTTCAAAAAGTTTGTGAAAGGAAATTTTAAATTTTTGATTGTGAGCTGACTAATGACACCACTTTATTAATTCATTCCCTCAAAATTGTCTTGCATTATCAATTATTTCCATTCAATTTCGAAAGGTTACAGGCTGTGTTGGCAATTGCCAATTAATGCTGATAAAACTAATTACTTGATTTTTCAGTCCAGAAATAAACAACTCATACCATGGCTCATTAACTATCAATTTGTATTCTCTCTGTAAAGGGAATAAATTTGACAAGAGGAATATTTTTTAACCCCCACTTGCTAATGTTGTATTTCATTCTTTTTTGTTAGGCAATGAAAGTTGAAAGAAAAGCCTATAGAAAGGTATCAAGGAACCAAATCCCATATTATTATTAGATAATTTATACTTTGGTAATTATCTCTAGTGACTTCAGCAATGTTTTATTCATTAATTTAGTCGTATTACCATTAGATTTAAAAGAAATTGTTCCTTTTTCTGTAGGGTTATTATAGAAAAGGAGAAGTTGAGTATTGCACAGAGCATTATGAAGATGCAATCAAGTCTTATGAAGTAAGAACTTTATTTTCATCAAAAAACTAAATTGACAATTAAGTGATGAATTTGAATAGAACAAAAATTAAATCAGAAATTCAAGTCAAAGGATAGGCAAGATGTCTGATTTTGTATTGTAAATAATCCATATCAAAACTTACAAAGATGAAATGATAAAATAAAACTTTAAGACTCCTTTGTATGGAATTATATAGAATTTTATTTGAAAAAGATATAATAATAATTTAAAATATAACAAATTCTTGAGTTTCTTGATATCTAATACTAATAGGAATATTTATAATAAAAATACATATAAAATGTTTTAAATTTGGTTCAGGCTGGACTTGCACTGGAGAGTGAAAATGAAGGAATATTACAAGCCATCAATAAGTCAAAGAAAAAACTAGAGGAATTAACAGCATGTAAGTTTTGTCTTCCATTTACAGTCTATAAAAACATCTGTTATCTGTTACACCTGAATCATATATAATATACCCGCATTGATCTAGAACTCAACCTGATTATCGGAGAGATTGATCAACAGAGGGTGGGGTCCACATGAGCAAATCCCCCTAACGCTGAGACGATCTGAGGGTGTAACGGAGAGTGTGGTCCACATGAGGAGTGTGGGAGGCCGCCCCGATTTCTGGGATACTTCCAGGAGACTTCGGACCCCTGTTATATATAGAAAATATGATTAGGAGCGAGTTGAAACTCTACTGTATCACCTGCTGTAACTCTGCAGTTACTTTAGTTCTATAATTAAATTTTATTTTTACTTACCGTCTCGTCTCTTGAACTTAGAATGAATTTATTTCCTACTTTAGTTCTACCTTTAAATTTTTATGTCTCACCCTGACCTTAATCACCTGATATATATCACATACAGTACTATAGTCAATTATACATGTCCATGGAACACATACTTGGCACTCTTGAAATGAAACTAGTGGCTATGCTCTGACTTGAACTTTGATCTTTCTAAGAAGCAGACCTATCCAAGAATTTTGACAATAGCTCTTTTTCTAAATGGATATGGGCACTGCAAAGGAGCCTTGGAATATTATATTATTTAATTTGTTTTTTTTTTTTATCCTAAACACTATTTTCTTGATATAGCTGAGCGACGACTACCCTGGATAAGTGCAGCACTTGGTATGTTGGTTGGCACTGTAATTGTCCTTGCTGATCACTTGGCTGCCGACAATCCTATGTTACAGGTGAGAAGATGGTTGCTCTCAACCTCAGCAAAATACACTGTGACCTCTATCCCCACAAAAGCTGATTGTTTTTACAGCAATTCATACTTTCATTTGAAAGGCATATATATGTACAGGTATAATGTTTTTATAATTCTCTCGCTTGAAGATTGAAATTAAATAAACCATGGGGTGGGTTGCTAAGATTGTATGTTTATAAAAGTAAACAGTAGTAGTTTTCCTTATAATTAAAATGCATCAATTTTAACCGTTATATACAGTATTTATATATTCATTGCAAATCTAAATTGCTTCTGTCTGTCTCATTGGAACTTGTCTTTCAAAATGAGCAATTCTATGTTTAAAGGGAAGGTGTTTAGAATTTAGTTTTTTAAAAGTGCTGTAAATAGGTAGTTTTCGCCACATGACGTTAACATTAAAGGATGACCTCATAATTTTTCACCTTGTGTTGCGGAGTACGTTAATTTCAGGATTTTACATGCTCGACGTACGTTAGTTACGGGTTTGCACATGCATATTTTTCCGATTTGTTTACAAAAGGGTGGAGCTATTGCATTGCATGTTGGGTACTCACATTTAAAATTAAGGTTAACTCCGTGTGGCGAAAACTACCTAATTTGTACTGTGTGCTGTCTTAATAGTTTGTTATTTGGTCTTGCAGTCAATGGTTCTGAGAACTGTATTTGTGGTAGTTTTTATTTCACTTGGTTTGCTTGGTAGTTGGTTGTACAAGTACATGCTACAGTTACAACGGTCATCTCTACTTGAACCACTTCCGGACCTAGGATTTGGTAAGGAAATTTCAATGCTTAAAATATCAACATAAAAGCTGAAGTTATTATTTTTATTATTAAAACTCTATTTTGATATGGATATTCGATCTCACAAAGTTCATGTTATTTTACAAAGTCATGTTTTCATCTTGGAAATTTCCATTAACTATGTAATTGGAAAACTAATGAAAGTATAATAAAGATTGTGACTGAAGATAAATTTTTTCTCAAATATAGGGTCAACCGACAGCAGCTCTAACAGTACACAAAACAGTAAAAAAATAACCGAGACAAAGCGAAACAAGAGAAAGAGTACAAAGACCTGATGACTGCAGCAGACACATTGTCATGCATTTTTAAGAGGCAAACACCAATCACTGACATATTGCCGGTCTTGGACGTAAACAATCACTCTACCAAGCAGAGGATGATGCAGATCCTGTAAACTGGTTACTTTAATATGAACTTCATTTGCTGTAATTCAGCTTGCTAGAATATATCATTGCAGTTCAGCATGAATGAATGTTCAATTTCTCTTTGGAATATACTACTTTCAACAACTGAACCAAAAGGTTATTGTTCAGATTATTTCCAAGATGTATTTGATATATAAATATGACATGGATCCACTTCCTACATGTTTTAAGAAAGATTATTCTGACTCCCATGGACAGTTAATGATGAATGCCTATTCATTTACACAGCATTTTTGCGATGATTAGTGTGGGCGCACTTCAACTCTACCTTAAGGATGGACAGCAAAAACTTTGGACATCAATAATTGTTAAGGAGAGGGCATATACAATAGACAATAATTTAATTTAGAATTAATAAAATTTGTTTGTTAAATGTGTAACAATTAAAAAAATAAACAAGCATTGAATATCAGTACAATAGTGCAATGTCAGTTTGAAAATCTGAAAGAAACGCAGAAACTTCAAATAAAAACAGACTAAGAGAATTATGAAGTTTATTTTTTGCATTGTTTTAGTACATACAGTAGCTATAAACATTTAAAATATAAATCAAAGCAAAATTATAGTTTGTTTGGTTGCTTGCATTCATGATATATACCTTAGAATAAATAATAAATTTATGCAACTATAATATATGGTGTGACTGCCTATGAAGTGCAGATATGATTATGACTATAATTCACATGTAATGAAATATAAAAAAATTGTTTTGTGTTCCATTACAAAACATTCAAGTAAGTTTTCCACAATGAAAGCATATTAATTTAAAGCAATATATTTAGTTTTGGTTCTTTTAAAAAGAATACAAAAAGTGGTTCCACCATCTTACAGTAGATGGCAATCAGCATTTGATAAGCTTAAATTTGTTTACATAAAAGACATGAGTAAATCATAATACTGTACATATTACAAAAGATTTACTATACAAATGGCAGTGGGGAAAATTATATTGTCAGCCAGGCAAGCAAGCAATGTTATTGTGATTTTTAAGTATCTTTTAAGCACAATTTTTACTATCCTAAAATTAGTCCCTACTTGCCAACCAGGGGTTTTACTCCTAGAAACTTAGTTGAGAATCTAGGTGGTCCCTTTTGGTTTGGACATTCTGTCAGACATGTTTCTCCCCCACCCACTGTTAGCAATTTTCTAAATCTATCACTATTTTTAACCTACAAATTTTATTCAAATAAAATAAGAATCAACATAAGACTGCTCAAATTAAAAGCTCTAAGATAATGGATACTATGCATCTAATGTTTTGTTGAAGTAAATTTATCCAGATGCCATCATCCCCATTCCAAGGTCTGGGGATATTACCCCATTTGTAGTAATATAGCACACTAAATAAAGATATGAAGAAGCCATGACTAGTGGTGTATATACAATGGTAGAAACAAATGCACTTTGGATTTACCGGTTTGCAAGCTTTGTGTGTGCAGATTTATCAATTAATACTGAATGCCTTGCAGCAGGGGCGTACCGTGGGGGGGGGGGGTCGATGGGTGTGGTCGACTCCCCCTTTTAAAGAAAGTGCCCTTTAAATATGCTCGCTTCACTCACAAATAACGCACCCTGCGAATTCTGAAAGCTTCGCTAAATTTCTCCGAGTTCAGCTTTCCCCCTGTGCTTTCGTTTCAACCCCCCTTAGATTTTTCACCGTACGCCCCTGTGCAGGAATCAATTATTCAGATAACGACGAACAAAATATGAATATTTTACATCATTTATGATAAACTAGTATGCTAGGCTATAATTAGTTTGCCTGCATAAGTAGCTACAGTTGTACAATAGCTTCTACTATAGCATCAACGGCCACTTTGCATTAATTTTGTCCGATTTAGACGAGGGGTAAATCTACCTAGGTAAAATTATCACAATGTTCACACTTGGATATAAATATAAATTTTGTGAATGCATGGATGGCAATTTGACCAAGGAGGATGTTAGGTATGTTGTTCGTACTTGACTATATAGCCAAACTGATCAGGTTTATCATTATTATTCAACAAAAAAAGTACAATGCAAACAGGCTTTAAGCTTAATACAGTACAGTACTCTGTAAATTATTTACAAATTGTGTAAAGAAGTATTTCTTTTTGTTTTGTTTTTTAGACCCTGCAATAAAGTACTCTATGAGATAATACCATAAAAGTGAAATGAATGAAATAAATATACACTGTCTGTAGTAAAATATGAAAAAAATATCCTTATATAATTTTCATTAGCACATTGAATTATTCAATTAATTTCATCAATAATTTATCAACTTCAATTGAGACATAATAATACGGTAATGTTATGAGTAGCCCTAATAGCATAACGATCTACAGAGAATGACAACAGTATAAATTAGTGTAAAAATTTATTGAGCGAAAAGCTTTCAAACACACAGTGCAATGCTTAAGGTAGACTTGCCAAAAGTCTCTAAATTATTGATTTTTTTTTAGCGTTTATGTCCAGAAGCTTGTTATTAGAGTTCCTATATAGGAACTCTACTTGTTATGTTGTTGATTTTGAATGGGAATAAACCCAGAAAAAGTATAGCATGGAATGCCATTGGTGCAAAGAAGTAATATGGAACGCCACTGGGGCCAAAATAAATTTATGTTTAATAGTTTTCACTAATGATTAGGACAAAATTTAGAGGCTGCAATCAAGTCTATGCTTAAGGTGAAGACGTGCACTGAGTGCCAGTGGTGGCGCCAGCAGGCTCAAGAACCTCCACTCTTCGGACAGGCCAAGCTCATGTTTGCCATGACTCATCAGACCAAAAAAAAACAAAACAAAATATAATATATATTTATGAAGAGAAAAAAATGCTTAAACTGCGCAGTTTCTTTTGACCCACTCCCAGTCTGTAACTGACTAGTGCCACCCCCCCCCCACCCACTAACTGCTAATAACTCCCCCATCCCCCAAGTTTTTAATCTAGGGCCACCAACTCAGTCGTGGATTAAAAGGGGAGGGGGTGCAAGAAGAAGGCCTGGAAGAATTTACTTTAAAATATTTAAGAATTCTTAAAAATTTAAGAATTTACTTCAAAAAATCTTAAATTGATTACCAACTAATTTAATTTAAGCCTACAAAATTTATTTTTAATTAAATTATTTTCTCATTCTACTTTTTAAATAAAAACTAAATATTTATAATTTTATATATAAAGTAAGCAACTGAATTATAGAATTTTACCGATTTCAAGATTACCAGGTCAACACAAACAGCATACCTTTATATCTTTTAATGCCTCAATTCTGTAGCAGAGGACTACCATCAGGGTTGGATTTAGGATGTTTCAGTCTGGGAGAGAGTGGGGTGAAAACCACCAATCAAGGACCTAAGGTTCAAGAGGATTTGGGAGGAGATGCTCCTCTAAATTTATATTATATTGCTGATGGGGGCTTAAGTTCCCGTTTTGCCATTTCTTGGATCTGTCTTGACAATTCACTCACATCTTCTGATGTGATTTATCCAAGCTATACTCACTTGGCTTCTATTAATGTTCTTTATGGACAACTTTTTGATGTATTTAGTCCAATGCTTCCTTTATTGGCCCCTTTCTAACATCTTTTCTTTTTCTTCCATAATGTACAATCTCAGCGATTAGCCACTGCTCCTGATGATCAAAAAACTTCCCTTGAATAAGTTCGCCAAGATGACGCTATTCTTCTTTGTTTCATGACAGTAACTCTAATTAAACATAAAAGTTACTTAATAATTAATTCAGTTCATATAAGCACTGTTACTAACTACATATCAAGTATTGCAGCATTGAAATATTGAACTATTTCTAATTAAAGTTTGATACAGTAATACAAATTTTCAATAAACAATATTGGTGTAATTTTGTATACATATGATATTTTTAATATTTGTAAATATTTTGTAAATACACTGATTTCAGCCCTTGGCTGACGTTCGTATATTGATATATTATACCTGAATATTAAAATAAATAAATAAAACGAGCAATTGCAGCTTTTAAAATAGACATTCATATAGGCACTGTTCCTAACTACGTTTTAAGTATTGCAGCATTAAAATATATAAATAGATTCAATAACAGACAGATACTTCAATAAAACTAATTTCCATATAAACAATATAAATTGCAGCTTTTAAAATAAATATAGAAAACTTCCTCTAAAAATATTTACAATATTAAACTAAACAATTTAGTGTTGTGTTTTGCCAATCTTACTAGTCTGGCTCAGTGAGCACAAAAATGCTCTTGCTGATCTACAGTATGTACACAAGCATATTTTAGGTTAAAACAATTCTGTCTCAAGAATTTGCATTCATCAAATGTTCACAACTCTATATTCATCAAATCCTATGCATGCTGGCCATGTACTGTTTTTAACATTGAGAATGAAATATTAAAGGGCAGAGCACATCAATGGTTGTGAATATAAGCTATTACTAAGTTCCTGTTCAGAAATTTATGATCAAGAAGACATGAAATATCTAGTTAAATAATAAAAGTTGAAGTCGTATTAGTCAGTAACATGGAATACAAATAAAATAAGTGCAGTTATGAACAGTTTAATCTTGTGTTCCTTCATCCACCTGATGAAGCTTGACCATGCTAGCATAAGTTTGTGTCTCAATAAATTTTGTTTAGTCAAAAGAAGGTGTCTATTGTACGTATTTTATTTGTAATTCTAGTTAAGTTAAATGTTTACTAATGTATGAGAGAGGTCTACCCAAAACTACCCCTGAAAACCCATTCAAAGTTAGTACACTTGTCACCTCTGAAATTTATAGACCACTCCAATGCCCTCTACTTCTACTTGTTCGTACAACCATTTGCGTTTACAGCGACATTCGTTACCACATTTTGGCGACTTGCAGAGTGGGCATGGGAAGTGGCATCCTGGGCACTGATGATTGAGGCAATCACACAAGTCTCTACCACTTTCTTGTAGTAAACCTTGCTCATTGTACACCATCTTTTTTTTGTTTTTTGCCCTATATTAAAAAATTTAAATTCATTGTAATTACAGATTAGTTGGCCTATTGTACAAAGGCAATAAAAGTTAATATAAAGTGTTTACATTCATTCTTTGTTGAAGTACAGGCAATTAACAACTAACTTATGGTTTACCAATATGTTAAAAAAAATGCAATATCCAATCCAGTGATCTATCCATGGGTGTGTGCCAAAAATCTTTCACCCAGTTTCCCCCCCCCCCCAACCCACTTCCCAGCCTCTGGAAAATGTTTGAAGCAAAAAAAATACTCTCAAGTGGTTAAAATTCACCTTATAACCTTATTTTGCAAGCTACAGTAATCCTCCTCACTTAATAATCAACACCCTCACTTCATCTTCGTGCTCCCATCAGCCTACCCATTTTAAGACTGACATTTTAATATATGCCACTGACAATATCAGGTCTTACACATTGTCTGCGACTGAAGTAAAAACCTGTATGTATCCTATCTGATATTTCTGAAATGCATCCATGCTATTACTAAATAATTGTTCAATAACAATACTACAACTGTACACTTATTCATAACATTAAGACACTCTATTCTCACCGTCCTATAGCTGCAGATGTTCTCATAACTTTTCTCATTTCGCGAGCACTGGTATTTGGATCGAACACTTGTAGAGGTCCAGGATTACGAAATTGTAAATTCTTGATGAGTTTTTGAGTTGCCTGGAAAGGAGAGTTTATAATCAAATGAACAAATTGAAATTTAAAGCACTATACAACTACCATATTTCTTCGAATAATTTATTGATTTGAGGATGGCATTTATACGGTAATTCTTAAGTTATTTTATAATACATTATCAGTTTACTTTTTTTAATGTCTGATCCTTATCCACCTCCTTGTTTCCAATTTACTTGGCCAACTACTTTGGATAGAGTATTTGCTATTGGATTAATAGTAGGCCTACTTTAGTTTTCATCATCATTTTAAAATTTTGGGATGCAAAAAAATAAGGCAAAGGATATTCTTCCGACAATGCCATAGTGCATTAGGATAGCGAGACAGAGGAAGGTTAGGGTAAGGGTCTTCCATTTCTATAGTGTAAATACAGTGCAATGTCTCTATGTGCTCTTTCTCCCAGTGTCGAGAGTAAAATTAAATCAGGATTTAAAAAGTGAACAAAGAGGAACATCACTTATGAAATTGGCTAAGTTGTTCCACAAATTTGGTGCAGCAACAGACAAGAATCTACCACCACAGGTTTTCAACTGACCAGAAGGACAATAAAGAATGGTAGAAACATGGAGGTATTATTGAGGAGATCACTCGGCAACAGATCCCTTTGACGGGACAAACCAATGGATCGCGCACGGGAATTGTATCTGCATAATTGTATTGGTTATATATATATATATATATATATATATATATATATATATATGTATACTATACAAAATCTGCGTGGAAGTCGGCCCTTATTTTCCAAATGTGCAGATGGAAGTTTTTGCGCAGAGGATTGGCCACACAGGCCGTGGCCCTTACTATGGCCTAGGCCTATAGAGATAGGCCTACCACTATATACAGTCTGGATTGGATCAATATTTTCAAATCTTGAAGTTAAGAAAGCTCCCACTCACACAGTGACACAGACACTGAACCATGTTTTTATTTTAGGTAAGCTCACTCTAGGAGGAGTCTTAGCACGCTAAGTCTAGGTGGATAGGCGGTCTAGACTAGAGTCTAGGCCTATATAGAGTAGGCCTAGCCTACAGTAGCTTGGCCTAGCTAGGCCACTAGGAAAAACCTTGTTCGATGCGTCCACCATCATAAGCCTACAAACACCAAAATATGTTTAAAATCAACGTACATCAGTCTTTTGACTTTCATTGTGATTTGAATTTAGTTCGTTCAGTTGATATGAGCTTCCAATAGCTAAATCTCCTACAGGATCATTATCAGTTGGATCAAAAGAACTTGTTTGTCTTTCCATGGAAGCTGCCATTTTGAAGTTTATGTGAAGGAAATGGCCTTTCCAATCTATATATATAACAAATAAATAAAAGCTATTCTAAATATTTGTTTGTGATATTTAGTACAGAATAATATATTGGTAAGCGTTTCTAATTATTTTTTTTATTGAAGAAATGTTTATTCATAAGGCAATAAGTATATATTTAATAGCAATTACATAACTATTTCAGCTTTTCGGGTTTCAATTCTTAAATCCAGGGGTGGTATACCGGCATCGGCCATTTTCCTCTGCAATCAGAATTATTACAATAATGTTGTCTGCACGTGTGGCAGCTTCTGTGGCTCGTGGCCTTGCAAGGCAGGCACCTAAGGTAGATACTTATCGAAAGTATATATTGAAGTTTGTATTATGTCAAAAATATTCGTTTATGACTGTACTTTTTTGTTTCATTGGGACGGTGCCGGCGACCCACCAGGTCACGTCGTCCATGAAAACAGGGGGACCAGCCAGTTCCATCCAGCAGGATGTGGGAGCCTGCCGCACGTCCACATAGTGTTTGTAGGCTTGCTAGGCCTAGGCCTAGAGCGGTTTAGTACCTAGGCTAAGCCTACTAACTTGCATGGAAATGGAAATGCTTATATAATATTGAAATTTTATTAAAATAAAAATGAATAGGTAGGTTAATTTTATATCCTTTTACCGGCTACTCTCGATTTTTCTTAGCAAAGCAAAGTAAGTTTGGGGTTGGAGTGCGCCCTCACTAATCATTCTACTGATTAAAGTGCACTGTACCTAATTTAACTTAAAAGAACGTAATCTCATTTTGGGTTGAAGGCATCAGATAAACAATAAAGTATAAATAAATGAAAATTATATCTTTGACTTTGGCACAAAAATGTTTTTGAAAAATGCATGCTTTAATCACTGATCAGTAAATTCCCATGAAATATCGGTGGTATCCAAAATTGAAGTTTACTTAAATTTTTACCTGTGGTAAAAATGTAATGAGATTAATCAATGAGCTCCCATAAATATCTGTTGCAATTTTGACACCATTACTTTGATTTTTATTTAATTGTATGCGAGGCAGTGCATTTTTTTTTTTTATCTCTACCTCTTTTGAAACCAATAAAATGGTATTTAAAGAGTATTTCCAGTGTAAAGATTTTATTTTATCTAAGGTAATAACATTTTGATTTCTGAATACAGTAGAATTTTTTATTTTAACTTTAAATTCCCTTCTTCCAGGTCTGTAGAAACAACCTTGGTGCAACATTCGTTGCTCAGAGGAATTTATCAACAACAGTAACACAAAATGCTGCCGGTGGTAGTAAGTATTTCATTCCAAACAATCTTTATTCCAGTATGCTGTACCAACTAATCAAACTTGAACTTGCAAATGTGAAGCAGAAATTTAGTCTTATTTTCTTTGTGTCATGACAGGCACTGCTGAGGTATCGTCCATCCTTGAGGATAGAATTCTCGGCTATACAGCAAAAGATAATCTAGAAGAGACTGGACGTGTACTTTCAATTGGTGATGGTATTGCCCGTGTCTACGGTCTCAAGAACATCCAGGCCGAAGAAATGGTAGAATTCTCTAGTGGTCTGAAGGTGAGTTTTTCCATAGGACTCTCAAAAGTAAATTTTCTAAAAAAAAATGTCACAAACACTAGAGAATTGACTTTTTTTTTTAACATGATAACTTTATCTTCCTGTACAGGGTATGGCTCTAAATTTGGAGCCTGATAATGTAGGTATTGTGGTCTTCGGTAATGATAAACTCATCAAAGAGGGTGATGTTGTGAAGAGGACCGGTGCTATTGTAGATGTACCCGTTGGAGAAGAACTTCTAGGAAGAGTAGTCGATGCTTTAGGAACACCCATTGATGGAAAGGTATGGACAATACATTTGTTGCTATGAGTGCCTTCAGTGAAGAGGATGCTTACAAGTATCTGCAGCCGAGGGAGAAAGTTGTTAATCCACAATTATGCGACATATTTATAATAATAGTACATCTAGTTTTTAGTGCATATTGACATTGCCTCTATAGGCTAGGCCTTCACATTATTCTGGTCAATAGAGCATTTAAACATTAATGAAGGCATTATTATTTTATTTTTAAGAACCAACTCCCAGACCTTGCGTTTGAGAGGCGAATAATTGCACCAACCACTTCACTTGGCAGACTGTATCTTAAACATTCACTAGGGCCATGCCTCATTTAATTCCGTACCAATTTCAGACCTTTATAATACCATTACTATTCTGTTTGCGCATACCATTACATTTTGGCAGCAAATTTAAGGATTTTTGTTGCTGTTAATCATTAACAACTGTATTTTTTTGTAACTAATGACTAATTGATTGTTGGTAACATATGGTTGATAAATGAATTTTAGACATTTTTCTTGAATTCTTGGCTGGTAGTATATCTTTAAAAAAAGGTCTATCGGGAAACAACTGGTTTTAACCTGTATTAAGAACCAAGACCATAATGATGTCAATTGTTGTTGGTTCTGGTAGCTGTCTTCTGAGAGACATCTGGCAGTCATTGATTATTGGTTTGGTGGACACATATTTACTGATATTTATACCTTGAGGCTGTTAACCATATAAACAGAAAAGAAATAGCATCTGTTATGTTTCACATTTTATCTTCTAGGGTCCAATTAATTCAGCAACCCGTAAGAGAACAGGACTGAAGGCTCCAGGTATCATCCCAAGAATTTCTGTAAGTGAGCCTATGCAAACCGGCATCAAGGCCGTAGACAGTCTGGTACCAATTGGAAGAGGACAGAGAGAACTCATCATTGGTGACAGGCAGACTGGGTAGGTAGCTGTTTTATTGACAGTAAGTGAGGTGTTGCTGGTAGAGAGTACATGAAGCACAGGAAGGTTGTCAGACTTGAGCTTGATCTGATCTGGAGAAATGATGACTTGTTGCTGAAACTTTGCTTTCACATTTTTAATGCACATTCATTAAAAAGTACACAAAATACTAGGTACTGTATTTAGAAAAATGGTTGTTTTTACACATATGTTTTTGTTTTCTGTAGAAAAACTGCTGTAGCCCTTGATACCATCATCAACCAGAAGCGATTCAACGACTCTACAGATGAGAAATCCAAACTTTACTGTATATATGTTGCCATAGGACAGAAAAGGAGTACAGTAGCACAGATTGTAAAGAGATTGACAGATGCTGGTGCGTTGAAGTACAATAGATTAAAGAAAATTATTGTATAATAATAACAAAGAAACAGTATGTATGAAACCTATACGCACATAGCTGTATTCAGACCAGCTACCAGCAATGTGTGCAAACATCTTAGCAGAATCCGTGCTAGATATAAGGCTTGCCATCCCAATTCAAGCATCAGTGACCAAAAATTTGAAATTGACTTTTTAATATATTCTTATTCTCCAAATTATAAGCTTTAAAATGATGGGTCATTTATTGGAATTGACTTATTATTATACAATACTGCAACACTCTAATGCTAATTTACTCAGTTTAACATGTAGCAACAGGTACACTGGTTTTGGGATGGTATGCCTCATATACTGTACGTTTATTTTGTGGTATGATTTAGAGACCAGATTTGTAGGTTCAAATAATTTTTTCTGTGGAAGTTTTTTCTCAATTCCTTAATTTTCCCAATCGTATTTTGCTTAGGTGCCATTAACTATACGATTATTGTGTCAGCTACTGCCTCTGATGCTGCTCCACTGCAGTACCTTGCCCCATACTCTGGGTGTGCTATGGGAGAGTACTTTAGAGATAATGCAAAGCATGCTTTGATCATCTACGACGATTTGTCAAAACAGGTGAGTTGGCAGTTTAATTAACCCAATTCCTTGATCTACTTTTTATACTCAATCTATCTCAGTGGTTTTTTTTTTTTTTTTTGTTAATACATGACCAGATATACCTTATCTCATAAATTACAATTTTTGGGAGGTCCATTGTAAAATTGACTTTTTATTTGGAAACTAATAGATTGCAGTAACATCTCCCAATTATGTACCCCTCCATCTGAACCGAGTTCGTAAAAGTTCAAATTTTCATAGCATCTCAGTGTGGTGCGGGTAGGCCTAGGCCTATGCTACAAAGGACAGGGCTAGATAGGCCTAATCCTTGGCCTGAGAGCCAAAATTTTGTTACTATATAAAACTGATTTGACTGTTTTCTGCAACAAAATAATACTAAATAATACAAAAGCCAAAATTATCTGTACTCACTGTGAAGTATTCGTTTAAAGTGATTTCCAAATGGAAACATGACCAAATAATAGCCAAAACAAGTGTTATTCTCTTAATAAATATCCCGAATCCATGCGAATAGCGCCCCAATGAACAAAATTGTGCAGTATACCGGAACAATCATGCACAGCTCAATATATATTTCGACTAAAAACGATTGATATTTCTTGCTTTAAACTTGAAATGTTTCCTTTCTTAGCTGTTGTAACATTTTATATTATTTTTTAAGACTTTTAAATAAATTTTAAGTGTTTTTGTAGTTATAAAAGATCGTTAGTAATGACATCATTGCCACAAATTGGTTCATAAAATTGAGAGTTCGTAAATGGTAGGTTTGTATTTGGGAGATGTTACTGTACCTATATTTGGTGTCAATTCAATTGGTGGGTGCAGTCAGAGTATAATCAAACCATATAACTGAAAGTGTGGAAGATATTGTTACGTTTAAGAAATGGACTTACGATCTACAGTATGGACATTTGTGTAATGCACTATAAAATTGATTGAAGTGAAGTGCCTTTACTGATACAAATGTATGTTTTGCAGGCTGTAGCTTACCGTCAAATGTCTCTGTTGCTGCGACGTCCCCCAGGTCGTGAAGCCTACCCAGGCGATGTGTTCTACCTTCACTCTCGTCTACTTGAACGTGCCGCTAAGATGAACGACAACTTCGGAGGTGGATCCTTGACTGCCCTCCCTGTAATTGAGACGCAGGCTGGTGATGTGTCCGCCTACATCCCCACCAATGTCATCTCCATCACTGACGGACAGGTACATGATGGCGTTATCTTTCTTCTAGCCTAGTTTCGAGTAATAATTTTTACAGTTGTTTGTCCTGATTCACTTGTTAAAACACAAGAACTGATTAGATAAATAGTTCACAGGAGTGAAAATGGGGTAAAATTTATTCTACTTAACTTGTAACCCATGGATTTGTTTGTAACAAAATCCAAATCACATTCTGTGTATTATGGGGTGATTAATAATTTTGAGTATTGAATTTGAATATCTAAAATTTATTTTTTCTTTGTAGATTTTCTTGGAAACTGAGCTTTTCTTCAAGGGTATTCGACCAGCCATCAATGTAGGTCTGTCTGTAAGCCGTGTAGGATCAGCTGCACAAACCAAATCCATGAAACAGGTAAGAATACAAAATCAGTGCAAAGATAACATTTTAAAATATTATGTCAGGTCTGGTATCCATTACTGATGTTCATTCCTCACCATCAGGTTGCTGGTTCCATGAAGCTAGAGTTGGCCTTGTACCGTGAAGTAGCTGCCTTTGCCCAGTTCGGTTCTGATCTGGATGCCGCAACACAAAACCAGTTGAACAGGGGTGTACGTCTTACAGAATTACTCAAGCAAGGTCAATATGGTGAGTAGGCAATATTCCTAATATTTACCTTCAAACCTTATCTATTACATCCTCTTTCCTGTCAATAACTCATGCAGAAAATGTAGTAAATACAATGATTTTTTTTTCAGGGCAAGGCGAGACTTTTTTTTATACCTTGTTTCGCAAAATTATTCAAAAGAAAAAAAAAAAGATAGATCATCAGAGGGCGAAAATGAAAATAAAAGTTTTCTTTGCATACATACATACATACACAAATTTATATATGGTTTAGCGAAAAACATCCAGACGGGTGTGCGCTAATTGGCAAAATTTTTTTATTTTTTTCAAAATCATTATTAGCTAGCGGCGGGTATAAAAAAAAGTGTCGTCTAACTTGGTAACTACTGTACTAATATTTAGTATACCTTAAAGATTAATTACATGTTCATGGATGGAATATTGATTGGTTTTCAATTTTTTTTTTTTTTACAGTACCAATGGCTATTGAAGAACAAGTATCTGTAATATACGCTGGTGTAAGGGGTCTCCTCGACAAGGTTGATCCATCAAAGATCACAGCCTTTGAAAAAGCATTCCTGCAACACATCCGCAGCCAACACCAAGATCTACTCACAACAATAGCAAAAGAGGGCGCCATCTCAAAAACATCCGATGACAAGCTGAAGGAAGTAGTCCTCAAGTTCTTGGAAACCTTTGAAGGATAACTTAAAGAAATTATTAGGAATGATATAAGTTGCTGAATTACCAGATATGTAATAAGACCTAATAGTTCTACAGCTAAGGATTAGTCGGAGCCACAGATTTGGAAACAACTGCATCAGAAATGTTAAAAAATGAAAGTTTAAAAATATCAAAAAAAAATATTATAATGTTGTACCCTGTACCTTCTATAAAAATGTTGAAAATTAGATTTAATTAATATTGCTGTGTTGGAATAAAGAAAAATCTACAGTTATTATAAACATTCTGTCACTTGGAATATTAGGTAATTATTGAACTCAATCCCAGTCATGATGTTGACAGGACAATTCACTGTGACACAACACATCTTTTAATTGCAATAAAGAGATTGTCACGATATATCATTTGCTTGTTACTTTTTCATTGATTGCGCAATACAGTAGTAACGTCGAAAAATCTTAAGAAATTAAAAGTATCAAATTACAATGAGACAAGTCAAAAGTTAAGCAATTTATAAATATTCCGTATTTAAATAGGTATATAGCTTCTAGTCAAAGCAAGAAAATATATTTTCTTTTTCACTATAATAATGCAAAATACTGGTATTGCAATAATCTGCCTCTGTGCTTCACACAATTAATACAGCAGATTAATACTTTCCTATTCCTTACATAGTCCCTTAAATTATCTGATAATTTTTCTCATTGTAACTTAGTTTTTGATCTTTTGATTGAGTAATATGATGTACAGTAGGTTTTACTCCATGTGAATGATTGTAAGAGAAAAAAACAACTGTCCATATGTTTTAAACAATCTTTATAATTCAGAACTATATCAACTGATACACAGATAATAAATACAGTACATATAGAGACCAAGACATTGCAGCATCTAGTAAAGCTTCCTAATTTAATCAGCCCCTAAAAATATTGACCTGCTCATTATCTACACCTTGGCTGTTGCCGAAATATACATCCAGTCATGAACTACGTAATGTTTTATTTCTAAGAAAAAAATATGGGATAAGAAACCTTTCTCTGGCAATGGGTTGACTACTTTCCAACAACTAAGTTTTGTCATCAAACCATTTATTTGCAGGGATATCGAGATTTTAAAATGTTTATATTCCTCTAGAACATCCAAACCAAACTATCATCTATTTCCAGCTTACAGTATAACACTTACTAAAATGAGATTTCTGGTATTGAGTGTCGGGGATTTATGGTACGGCCACTAAAGCTATAAAATTATGCTGTACATCTGATAATTTTTTTTATTTCCACCAGATCCTTTGGGTATAGGTCATTTTCCTTTACAGCACCTACACTTTGGAATTCACTTCCTACACGTTGGCCATTGTTCCCCGAATGCTTCATTAAGAAATGAATGTTTCTCACCAATGATATTATCGGTGTGCTTTGGTATCAATTTCCATATACACTAATTATAAAAAAATGCACAAGTTTTCAACAGGTATACTCATTCAGCAACACCGAAGATACTAGAAACACAAGAAAGAGCACTCGCATAGCAAAAATGAGGCGGAAATTTGTCCAGGCGTACGCGGTGCCCTTCTCTTTTTATTAATGCTAGTTTATACTTGGTCTAGACGTACATGACGCCTTTCCGTTGCTAAGCAAATCCAGAAATATGCAGCATCCTTCTCTTTCTGCTAATAATGGGAATTAATCACGAATCAGAGTCCAGTCATACGATATTCAAGATTCAAGATAATGTTATTGTCTGAAAAATTCAGAATTTACATTCCACTGGCAGTGTTACAAGTGTTAATAACATGTCATTTTATTCTTTTGGTTTATTTATGCCTACTTGTTTGTATCTTATGGATAATGGCAACGATTTCTACCTCCGCAAAAGGAGGTTATGTATTTATGGTTTTATGCAAGTTCAGCAGAAGTCTTTTACATCCAGCCGTACGCAGCGCCCCATTGTTTGTAATCCCACCATGCATTTCGGTGGAACTGTTTTTTTTTTGTGGAGCCTATCTTGTGTTTTTAGTATCTTTGGCAACACCCTGTTGGACAAGTCTACTTTGGCCATAGCAGACAATGTGTTAAATGATGATGTTTATTTGACGCACAGTCAAACGGTAGACGTATATTTGGACGCACACACGACCCCTTCATAGAGCAGCAAATGTTTATTTGGAATTGAGTTTCACTTTACAGTTCCACTATAGCATTGATAGGCCTACATTATACAAATGTATAAATTGAATAGACATGACCATGAACATTAAGTTTAGCCTCATGTGAATGAATGACTGCCTTAAAAAAAATATATATAATTTTTTATATTCGCTGATAAATAATGAAGAGAATAGATACAGTACATATTGTACATCAAGATTGTAAAGATATTGCAGCATTAAAGATAATCTAATAAGAGCTTCCTTAATAATAAAAAAACTAAAAATTTGATATTTTGCTCATTAATAAAAATGAGGTAAGAAAATAGTATACTTCTCAGCTGTTATGAAAAGCTGGAAAATGTAGTTTTCGCTAGCACCCAGATATATACTTTTATTTGGCACTGATATTTTGGAATTTCACTACAGAGCATTGAATAGATGCATAATTTGACTTGGCACAAAGTTCATCACACTCTTCTTAAAATTTAACTTTCCATTTTCGTTTATGAAGCAAGTCCTTCACCCCTTCCCTGAAAGATAAAAAATTGACAGTTTTATTAAACCACTAATTGATTATATCACGGTAATTAATACACAATGATTGTTCTTAATAATAGGGTGCTTTCGAATAGGACGTTAATGTAATTCTCTAAAACAGATTTGTCAATGATCATCCTGCGATATCTGCACAATACAGATTCAGCCAAAACCATGTCCAAGATATCAGAGAGACAATGAGAAGTCTTAGTGCAGATTATGTGACATGATTACTGTTGTAGATCTCACTGTCTTTCCAAAATGAAAAGCTCCTATCTGTCATTTGGAAATCTCACCTCTGCTGTTTTCGTTTGCGTGAAAAGATCGTCTTCTTTGATTTGTGTCTTTCGTGCTTCTCCTTTTGAAGGTGAAAGTGCGGCGAGTTACAAAGTTGTGCTGGAAGTTGTACACTCAATGGCTGTAGCACCATGACAAACTCAAAAAACAGATGTTTGCTTGCATTATTGATGAAGGTGATTGCTGTTCCTTGGCCTCCAAGTCGTCCCGTTCTACCAATCTATTAAAAACCAAATAATTGATGATTTACAAATTCAACAATACACAACATGATCACAAGGCATTATTAATCAACTACTAGATTCTGACCGTGTATTATATCATGAGTCACATGATCACAGGGAATTGCAGCTTTCAAATGTCAACTGACCTGATGAATGTATTCCTCAACCGTGTTTGGCATGTCAAAGTTGATGACCAGTTTGACCCCCACTAGGTCAATTCCTCTACCTAGTACACTGGTGCACACCATGATAGGAAGTGACGTTTCCAAGAACAATTTAAGAGTTTGTGACCGTTCAACCTGAGATTTGTCGCCGTGTAATGTTGCCACTTTATATCCACATATCTGGAAAATAATTCCAAGCTAATTTGCATCTTATGTAAAGAAACAATTTACTTAATAATGGTAGACTTACATAGCACACCATGCTAAGGCCTCATTGCGCTTTACATTATTAATACCTCAGTCACTGGATTAAAACACAACCCAACTCCCTGGACAATATAACATTGCAGCAGCTAATTAGTGCATTTGGCATTTTAACCCTACCAGGTACCCACTTATACAACTACGTGGAGACAGACAATGTGGATATAGTGCCTTGTCCAAGGACACAAGTAAAGTGCATAGCAAGGATTCAAAATTTAGAACTCAAGGTTAAGAGCCCGAACCACAATCGTTTCGCCACTGCTTCCACGATAGAATATTATTGGCTGCTTATTTTAATTTTTTAAGAGCAATTATTCTTTACTTATCTACTGAAGTCATTAAGTTGTGCCATCATAAAGATTTTTAACCCAGAGTCTTGCGATTGTTGGGCAAATATCATATCCATCAAACTACACCCTAACTACCACTGACTAAAAATATTTTCAATCCGTTATGTTCATGAATGTACCTTTCTTATTGTCTGAGCAAGCATTTCACAGCCTAGTTTTGAATCCACAAAGACAACCAGAGGTGGCCTAGATGAAAAAAATAGTAATGCATAAATTCATTGAATAATTACAACTATAGTATATATATATTAATACACAATTATTATTATGATGATAAACAATTATAAAAAATGATATTAATAAATGAATGGTACCGTAGTATGATTAATAATGGACCATTTTTAAAATCTAAATGTCAACTTGTTCTTTTCGTGTTTCTTTGTGTTGATTTGTATTGATTGGTATTTGTTAAACTCAATTTTGTATAAAAAATTGCAATAAAGAATAAAGAAATTATAATTAGCATAAAGAAATTATAATTAATATATATATATTGTAAGAAATGATTAGACTACTGTATTACAAAGCCATTGAAAATAACTACTATTGATTATAAATTTAATTCAATCAATCAACAGTTATTTGTAAAATGCTTACATGTATATGAAAATATTCAAATGGATTTTTAAATTAATGAAGACTTGGACAATTTTGATTTTAAAACAAGAAAGCATGTGTTTCTTGGTAAACTCACTTGTAGTGTTTGGGATCCTGTAAAATGGTGAATAATTTCTTTTTCTTTGATGGATCTTCAACCCACAGAACGGTATGCTTCACTGAGCTGCTAGGAGTGCTGGGCTGAAATGCAAATAATAAAAATACATAATAATAATGATAGCAACAACGCTAGTATAAAATTACAGTCTGGTTTTGAGTACACTACAGGAAATAAAAGCCGAAGGGGCTATTAATTCCTGAAAAAACTGCTTGAAGCCCACAGGGCTGAAGTCAATTTTTGAAGGAAATAATGGTTCCCAAGGCTTCTATTTCCTATAGTGTACCAAATTACTTACTATAATTGCATATTAGAAAATTAACACAATATTTAATACTGTATTATAAAATGATTGATTGAATAAGAACTGCAATGCTTAATTTGCTTCTTTATTTCTTTTAGTCAAGTGCAGTGCTTACTGTATTTGTAATAATATGTAAGAATATATGTTGCAAGGTTATACTCACAGTTCCAATGGAGATGTATGTAGCATTGTGTAACAAGGAAGATGCAAACATCTCAATGGATTTGGGAATTGTTGCCGAGAACAGCGTGGTCTGGTGATCATCAGGCAGTTCCTTCATAATACTAATGACCTATAATACAGAAAATAATAAATACAAAAAATAAAATAAAAATTAAAAATAATTATAGTTCATGTAATAAAAAGGCTTCTATGTGTTTAAATAATTTAAATAAATAAAAAACATATAAGAGTAAAGGCCTGTCCAAACTATCAAATTTCATTTGACAAAAACATGTGACATGCCTAAATATGGTCATGATGACATCACATCATGACCATGTATAAGCATATTATGACTGTATATAGGCTTACAACAGTTTTTTTTGTCAAAGGTAATTCGATAGTCTGGACAGATCTTTAGGCTTTATATTTTTAATAGGAGACAATATGAGGTCGAGTTCAAGGAAGATCACATTGCATCTGCAACTGCAATTTATCTACAGTAAATTTGTTTTTATGTACCTAAAGAATGGGTACTCGGTAGACAAAGCTCAAGGTATGGTTTAACAAGTTCTCGTAAAGCTCCGATGACAGCAGTATAGAGGCAGTGGAGCTAAAAACAATCGTGTTTCTTGAGTTCCTCATGAGGGCTGTACAGTAGAGGCAGTAGATCTAAAAAAGATCTATCAATCAATCAGCTGAGTGTTTCTAGGCCTCCTCATCAGAGCTAAAAACACAGTACCTACCTGATCTTGAAATCCCATCTGGAGCATGGAGTCTACCTCATCAATGACCAATAGTTCAATATGGTCTAAGCATATTCCTGAAATATATGATTGTGAAATAAAATTTAGAGAAAGAACACAGAATATATTAATGTGATTTTAAAGGAAATATGACAAAAAAGTGAATACACATAATTTTATTACCTTTCTTGTTCATAATTTCCAACAATCGACCTGGGGTAGCAATAACAAGCTAAAATGAAAGATATAATGAATTATTCGTAAAATATAATTTATCTGGATCAATCATAAATCATTCACCCTTCATCATCATTATTAAAAATCACATTCATATTCTTATTAAAATTAATGTCATCATTACTATACTCATAATCATATTATCATCATCATTCTCATGATAATCATGATCATCTTTATCACAATTATAACCATCATCCTCATCCTCCTCATCTTCATTATATTCATCCTCATCATCATCCTCATCCCAATAATTGTCATCAACTTAAATTCCTTGGCTAAGTATGGTAACAGGTGGTACCTGGATTCCTTGCTTGAGTCGATGGATCTGTGGTGGTAGTGGTAAGCCCCCAACAAGTAGGCAAGTCTTCATGTTTTGTAATCCTACAATTAGCAACGAAAAAAATCCCCGAAAAACAAAGGGTCAATCAAATATTGACAACAAATCGAAACAAAAGTGGGCAGACACAAAATAATGGTGTGAAAATGCTTCTTGTCAAATAGGGGTAAATCATTTTACTACCTTTCATAATTTCTTTTGCCTGTTTTTCAATCTGCATAGCAAGCTCTCTTGTCGGAGTTAGGATGATAACAACTGGGAAACGTTTCTGCTCTTTCTCATGGACTTCATTGTAAATATGAAGAGTTGCAGGAATGAGAAACGAAGCAGCTGTAACAGACAAACACAAGTAATTGTACAGTATAAATGTATAAGATATTATTGTGACATGGGTCTTTGGTGGATAATCTTTACAATGCTAAATAACGAAATCAGAGACTTTCCAGTTCATAGACTATCACATAATGCATTCCATCATCTAATGGTGAGTCATTCTTTTTTTTGGACAAAATGAATACTACATAATCTATAAGTGTAAACATTAAGCTTAAGAGATATGAAGAAGGTATGACCTACTTTTTCCTGAGCTTGTTTGTGCACACACCATTAGGTCATGTTTTAGCAGAGCAGCAGGTATAACCTGCATCTGTACTGGCGTTGGAATCTTGTATCCAGATGTCTTCAGATTAAATGCCACTGTGATTAAAGTATGTAGGGCAAGTAAGTGACAGTACAAGAGGCTAACATTAACAATATTAATGAACCACTTTATTATTTATTAATCAGGAAGTTATAAGATGAAATGAACAAAGTTGAACTTACTTGTTTTAGGCAAGCCTAATTGAGAAAAATCAGTTATTGGTTTGGGAACATTGAGTCCTTCAACAAAAATAGAGACCTGAAAAAAATGTAAAAATTAGAGGGAATTAGGAGAAAAATTGAAGATCATAGAATGAAAAACATAAAACGCAGCTAGGATTCAATTCAATTTATTCATCAAAAAATGTTAAAATAGCAATAAAATACATAATATATAATAAAAAAGATGAAATGGACAGCTATATAAAAAGCTTAAAGAGCTTGTACAAACGTGGTGTCCAATAGGTCATTTATGATAGTTTTAATTTCCAATTACAGTACAGAATTTTAAATTATATGTGAAAGTGATTGGGAAAGTGTAGAGTGAAGTTTAGGCTTAATCACTAAAAAGATAAAATATTCACCTCATTTCTTAATTCATAAACTTGTTCATTTGTTAAATTTGTCAAAGTAGAATGCTCTCGATATGAGTAGCCAGCTGTACAACGTGATGGCCCAACATCCAGCAAATCTTGGTCCACATACTCATCTAGTCGGTCCTCTAAAACACCGGACTCCTCTGCATACTCATCTGGGTAGCCCTCTGAAGGACCTGGCTCCTCATGAGAAGGCTGTAAGCTTATAGCCTGCAATGAAATACCAAAAATAAGGCAATTAATAAATATATGAATAGTTTTCAATTACTGTATGTTTTACTTCTAAGAGTTAACCATCCACCTGCTAGATAATGTGTTATTGCAATGTTATGTTGACTTAACAATTACCAACGACCTATGAAAATTAAAAACAGAATCAAGTCCTAAGTGGGGAGCATCACATAAGAAAATCCAAATGCAATATCGAAAACTGATAACAATTAATATACTATTAGTTGCAAGAAAAGAGGTGCATGTCAATTGGTTTATGGCTGGGCGAACAGGTCAGATTAAAATTCTAAAAGCAACAAAGCAATATAATTTTCAAAATAAAGTTCTTGAATCATTTTTTCCTCAAGTAAGAGTGATGAAGTTATCTCTCAGGGACAGCTGGTGCAGCGGAAAAACAAATAAAAATGCCAACCTCTTCGATTGATTGTTTTTTCCTTGCTAAGTTTCTTGCTTTACATTCCAGACTACAAACATCTGCATCAGTTTGGTCACAGATGTATTCTCCATAGCGACCACAAACAATGCATGAAGGTTCACCTGGCACAGGTAACCTCTGCTGTTTGCAATATGACTTAATCAAAGGCTTGCATTCTACAGTTTTCAACTCCTCTGTACATTCAATATGGGATTCACCTCCTTCCCTATTATTCATAGACTCTGGTTTTGTTGCAGTTTCCTCTTCGGGAAAGTTCTTATTTAAATCATGTCGGATGTTGATTTCTTGAATTTTATGCTCCCCATTAACGGCTTCAGAGGTCTCGTCGTGTGTTAGGTTGAACTGGCCTGTACTATATTTAGCTCTAGTGTTTGGTCCATCACAATTGTTTTGACTGTTTGGTCTCTCTTTGTCAGAATGGACTGATTTTCTTAAAATTTTCTTTTTCCGATTTGCAACTTTTAGTGAACGTGGAACAAACATTTCGCATCTTGCAAGAATTCACCTGGAAACAATAAAGTTAAACATGTCAATTTATAATATGAAGATATTAAGCCCTAGGCCTAGACTAACCAGAGTGCCTCTCTGAACAGAGAAATTAACAACCTTTCCGGTAACTTTTTCTAGCCAGAATTAAACTACTACCACCATCTTGCCCGGTCTTGCTTGGACATGATGGCCTAGAATTACCTTAACTGTAATCTGCACTCAGTTGCTCATGTTTAAAAAAAAATCAAATATTAAAAATAGCTAAATAAAATCATTATTGATTATAAAGATATAAGGTGGATTTCAACACACCTAATATAATGCAACACACGGTTTTTAGTTGGTATCCAGTCATTCACACATTCTCTTTCGAAGATTTATTAATTTTGTTTGTTTTTTGCACACCGCCCTCTGTAGATTCGTTTTTCACAAGTAAAACCAACACACTAGGTTCCCGCACTTCAAATAAAAAGTGATTTTGGATGAAACAAGCATTTTGCCACCATGCTTAATCATAAATTTGTTACGCATTTAACACAAGTGTATGCGTGATAACGATTTATCACAAATTCAGGGGAAATGTATTTAAAATTATAAATTGGTTGTATTAAAACTATAAAAACGGTGATGCGGTAACTTTGAGTCATAAGTACAGTATTTCCTTGAATTCAAGGCCCTATTATTTCACTAACGATCGAGTTATTAAAAATTGATCAGTAATGAAATGTTTGTGTAGACGGTCTACTTAGTTCGGGTGCTCAAATTAAACATAGGCCTACATTGAAACTCACATTGGCTTTATTAATAATATTTTTGCTTATGTACATATATTATCAACAAACACTCCCTGTAATCGTTTTAAAACAGCTTAAAAATGCTCAGATCGTCGGAGCGGCGGGGGTGGTCCCCTGCTTCTTGGACACCCCCTCCCCCCCCCCCCGCCCCCACACCCCCCCCCCCCCCCCTTTTGGGGGGGAAAAAAAGAAAAAAAAAAAAAAGAAAAAACAGAAAGTTTTCTAGCCAGAATTAAACTACTACCACCATCTTGCCCGGTCTTGCTTGGACATGATGGCCTAGAATTACCTTAACTGTAATCTGCACTCAGTTGCTCATGTTTAAAAAAAAATCAAATATTAAAAATAGCTAAATAAAATCATTATTGATTATAAAGATATAAGGTGGATTTCAACACACCTAATATAATGCAACACACGGTTTTTAGTTGGTATCCAGTCATTCACACATTCACACACATTCTCTTTCGAAGATTTATTAATTTTGTTTGTTTTTTGCACACCGCCCTCTGTAGATTCGTTTTTCACAAGTAAAACTAACCCACTAGGTTCCCGCACTTCAAATAAAAAGAGATTTTGGATGAAACAAGCATTTTGCCACCATGCTTAATCATAAATTTGTCACGCATTTAACACAAGTGTATGCGTGATAACGATTTATCACAAATTCAGGAGAAATGTATTTAAAATTATAAATTGGTTGTATTAAAACTATAAAAACGGTGATGCAGTAACTTGAGTCATAAGTATAGTATTTCCTTTAATTCAAGGACCTATTATTTCACTAACGATCGAGTTATTAAAAATTGATCAGTAATGAAATGTTTGTGTAGGTCTACATAGTTCGGGTGCTCAAATTAAACATAGGCCTACATTGAAACTCACATCGGCTTTATTAATAATATTTTTGCTTATGTACATATATTATCAACAAACACTCCCTGAAATCGTTTTAAAACAGCTTAAAAATGCTCAGATCGTCGGAGCGGCGGGGGGGGGGGGTGGTTCCCCTGCTTCTTGGACACCCCCTCCCCCACCCCAGCCAAAATAGTCACTCACGCATTTAAAATCTCTCAGGTTGGTAACTATGAAGATAGAACGAATATGTCTTTCTCATATTTGTGTTTGGGTGGGTTACATTTAGAGATTGGTAATTAATTACTACCGTATACTGTCCACTTAATGAGTAAAATTGTTTAAGTTGTTTTCTGTGAGTGGGCTACAAATGTCCTAAAATTTGTTTATACAGAAAAAAAGCCACTCGCTCATTCCCTTATTGCCCATGGACATAATTCATGTGAAAACTGGGATTTTTATATGAAATGTATACGGTCTGAAAATTGTAATAGCGAGTGCAGTGAATTGCTCTGCAGAACGAAACTTAATTACATTAACTAACAAGAATTTTTTTCTTAAACAAGCTTTGATAATTTTTTCATATATATTTTCAAAATGAGTTGTGTGCATAACATTGTCCCAGAAAATATAGTTTTTGTTATTCTAGACGTTTTTTTTTATATAATGACAGTTTAAGTTACTTTAAACGCCCTTTACAACACTTATTAGGGCGCCTATGTTTATTTTGTACATGAGACCTAATAAGGGTTTCAGTTTCATTCTCCTTTTCCTTTAGGTAATGTTGTTTACTAAGTTATGGTATGTTATTCGTTACTTGGAAAAATGTACTTACTCAAAATGTAAGAGAAAGGAAATAAATAAAGAAAGAATTAAATTTATTTATGTTTACAAACAATACAATTTAAAAACAATGGAGATGACAGTGTGCATGAATGTTCACGTCATAAAAGACGAGCGGCAATTTCAATAGCACTGCTGGAGCTTTACAAAAAGCCTCCGCTTAGAGCTTTAAGATTATTTTTTTAAAAGCGCTCTGATCTTAATGAAATAGCGCGATATAAATATCGCATTATTATTTAAAAAAAGATACAAAACATTTTCCGCCTCTTGAGTGATGTGACGAATCGAACTAGAACAAAATACGGCGACACGACGTACCCGCTGAGGATTAGTGCGCATGCGTTAAGTAGTCCAACACATCATCAACAAACATGGCTGGTAACGGAGTTTCGAGGGGGCACATTCGGCCAGGAAAAACACCACAATTTCTAACAATTGGTTTACTTTTAGTAATATGTATACTTACATTTAATTACTGGAATGTTTCATCAAGAGGGAAAGCTCTACAAAAAGAGGTTAAAGAGATGACAGACACGTTAGAGGAGCTTGCTGTTAAAAAGGTCCACCTAGAAAAACGAAGCACAGCACTACAGAACCAGATAACCGAAGTTAACCACTTAAACGAGGAGCTACGCTCCCTGAAACTTAGTGCCGACAATCAAAAAGATAAATTTGAAAGAGACTTAGAAAGTTTGAAAGAAGAACTTGCATATATAAAGCAAGAGAGAGACTCTTATCGAGATGCTATTGTAAGTATATATAATTATACTATTATACAGTAATCAAATTAGTTAAGAAACAAAAGAGAAAGACTAAGGGCCTAAGCCTACTAAACATAGAACCAACTCCGGCTTTTCACTGGAGCGTTTTTCTACCAGCCTAGCCAGCAGGCCTAGCCTATCTTTTTTCTCTAGGCTGGGCATCACTAGGCAAAGCTTTATTAATATTAATTAGGCCATGCTTATGCCAAATTTGTCTTGGCCAGAGCCTGCACAATATTTGAAACCAGTTTTCAGTACCGGTACTGTACAATAATTTACATTAATGGTACACCGTGGCTAGAGCCTATACGGTACCATATGAGTTGTGAAAAGCGAACGATGTACAGACAGGGCATATTTATTATTCGCTGTGGCTAGAGATACGGTTCCGGTACCGTATTTCTACTTCCATTTGCTAAAGGTACGGTAAATGGCATTACGTCACCATCACCCAATAAAGTGCGAAATGTGTCTGACGTCATCTTTCAAGACAGGCATTGACATTGCAGATCGCACACAGTGTGAGCGGTGTGACTAGCGAACAATGTACAGTACTGGAGGACTTCATCATACCACAGTAGGGGTAGCTAAGTGTTAAGTGCTAATCTCTCAGGTTTTCAGTACATTATTGATTAACTAAACCTGACTGACGTAATTAACTTCTTTAAAAAAAAAATGTCGCCAAAACAAAAGAATAGAAAATTGAAACAAACTATTAGTAATACTAGTACACATAACTGCATGACTATTCTAACTGTAATTTACTAATTACTTTATATGTAAATTGTTGGTCAAAGAAGAGTGAAAGTGTTACATGTAAATTGTTGGTCAAAGAAGAGTGAAAGTGTGCATGCTGTTAGGCTGTGTAACAGAATTAAAAATAATTGTATCAGACATTTATGTTCAGTTGTATATGAACCTAATGCAATGAAAATGAGGTGCGCCTTTCTCCCGTCTCCTCTTAATGAACATTAAAAGACATCTCTTTTTTTAATAATAATAATACTTGCAGGAGACATTGAAACTAACCCTGGCCCCATTAAACATCCTTGTGGGGTATGCGAAAAGCCAGTTGCCTGTAATCACAAAGCAATAAACTGTGATGATTGCGGATCATGGCTTCATAATTAATGTATAGGATACTACTAAAGAATACAATGAATTACAAGGCAAAACTTTTTCATGGATCTGTTATAGTCATTTGAAGGTGAAAATTCATTCTCTACTCTTAATGACAATAACTTAACAAATGAAAGTTTAAATGAGAATCAACTACAAATTGGACAAACATGTACAGTATTAAAAATAAAAATATGAAAGCTGCTACAAATCAAATAAAAAGAAAAATCAAAATAATGTCAATAAATTGCCAAGGGCTTAAAAGTAAACATAAACAAGCCGAGTTGGGCACAATAATAAAAGAGCACGACGCAGATATTATCATGGGTACAGAATCTCATTTGGACTCGAATTATACAGACTCGGAAGTGTTTCCAAATGGTTATAACTTAATTAGAAAAGATAGAAACCGGTTTGGTGGTGGTGTATTTATAGCCTACAAAGATGATCTTATTTTTACTCAAGTTGAAGAAGGAAACGAATCTGAATTCATACTGGGAAAAATAAGACTAAAATCAATCACCAACTTTGTACATTGGAGTTGTATATACAGTAGACCGCCAAACAACAACGTAATTCCGCTTGAAGAGATATCGGAAAAATTAGAAAAAATATCAATAAATAAATATATTGCGACATATATTTCTTACAGGTGATTTTAACCTTCCTGGAATTGACTGCAACCGTAACTCAGTAAAGCCAAATCCACAGTACGGTCAACATGTCAATATTAAAATGCTTGAAATAGCCAAGGATAATTCATTGCACCAACATGTGCATCGGTCAACTCATGGACAAAATACACTGGACCTCATTTGTTACAACTTCTCCAGACTTAGTGTCAGACACAGGAGTATGAAATGAAAGTAAAAATTAATCTAAAAAAACCAAGGCAATTTTTTTTGTTTAGGAAAGCAAACACAGACAAATTAAGGGAAGAAATACAACAATTTCAGATCAATTTTCTGAATAATGCAAAACATTTGAATGTAAATCAACACTGGATAAAATTCAAAAACAAGATTATAGAAATCACAAACAATCATGTTCCAACAAAAAAAAAAAAAATGTGATAAATTTAATCTCCCATGGATTAATAGTGAAGTAAAAAAGCTTATGAGCATTAGGAGGAAAAAATTTAGAAAAGCAAAAAAAAAAAAAAAAAAACTTGAAAAGATTGGGAACATTATAAGCATATTCAGAAAGCAATAAAAATAGAGATTAAAAATGCGTATGACCAATATGTTGCAAGCATGTTCGATGAACATGAACAGGGTTGTGCCCTTAAAAAACTATATACATTCATAAAAGGACTAAGAAGAGATAGGACAGGGATTGCACCTCTGCAAACTGAAGGTAAATTTGTGATAGAAGGTAAAGACAAATCAGAAGTCTTATCTAAACAATTCCAGAAAGTATTTACCAATGAAGATATTGCAAATATCCCAGAAAAAGGCCAAAGTCCATACCTAAACAAAATTAATTTTGATGGTATATTCAAACTATAAGTATTAATCCCAAAAAAGCAGTGGGCATAGATATGATTCCAACACAAATTATTAAAGACCATGCAGATCTGTTGGCACCCGTACGAACATAAATATACCAACAGTCATTAGAAAATGGGGAAGTACAACAGGATTGGAAGCATGAAAATTTAACTGCCTTATTTAAAAAAGGTGATAGATCTATGCCAGCAAATTATAGACCAGTGTCACTCACATGTGTGACATGTATAAGTAATGGAACATATAATCTTTAGTAATATTATGGATCATCTTGATAAAAGAAAAATACTGAACATAAATCAACACAGCTTTAGACAAGGCCATAGTTGCGAATCACAATTAATAAATACGATTGAAATACTAACAAAAAATATGGATGCAAAGAAAGTTACTGATTGCCTAGTATTTGATTTTTCAAAGGCATTTGATACGGTTCCCCACCAAAGGCTTTTACACAAAATTATTTATTATGGAATAAAAGGAAGTGCACACAATTGGATTAAATCATGGTTAATAGGTTGATACCAATTGGTAGTTGTAGATGGCTACATATCTAATAAAACAAATGTAAAATCATGAGTTCCACAAGGTACAGTTTTAGGACCCCCCATGTTCTTAGTCTATATTAACGACATCACAGAAAAAATAATTTCTGAAATGAAACTATTTGCTGACGATTGCATATTGTTTAAATGTATTAATGATGACCAGGATGCCAAACAACTTCAAGATGTCATATATTTGACTTCTTGTGGAGGGGCGCCATGAGCATTTTCTTTAAACGGATACCGGTGCTTTAAACATTATTATTATTATTATTATTATTATTATTATTATTATTATTATTATAAAGTAGTGGAATGGTCCAATAAATGGCAAATGAAATTTAACCCCAACAAATGCCAAGTAAAAAATAAGCAATAAATAAAAAAAAATAATCAGCATTATAATTATACAATAAGTAATGTTATTCTCCAATCAACAAAACAAATTAGTTATCTTGGAATTGAGCTTACAAGCTCATATTGACAGAATGACCAAAAAAGCAATTTGTAAATATACAATGAGTAATGTTATTCTCCGATCAACAAAACAACTTAGTTATCTTGGAGTTGAGCTTAGCAAGCTCATATTCACAGAATGACCAAAAAAGCAAACAATACGCTTAACATGCTAAGAAGAAACTTTCGTAATTGCCTTATTGAAATTAAAAATAAATCTTACACTACATTCGTTAGACACATGTTGGAATATGCGCAGACATTATGGGATCCATATCAACAAAAACAAATCAACAAAATACAATCGATTCAAAATAAAGCAGCTCGGTACGCTACTAAAAATTATGAAAGGAATAGTAGTATTACGGAGATTCAAAAACAATTGATTTGGCCTATACTACAACATAGAAGATTTGTTGCTAGACAATCACTTCTTTATAGAACATGGCATGGAAAAACAGCCATAATAGTACCATTAAATATAAAGAATAATAACAATAGAAGAGTATTAAAGAAATTCCAGTAATTTTAACCTTATGGATATGAGATGCTCAAGTGACAAATCAGTCATTCCATGCCAACTCAACCAGGGGTTCCACGGTGACCATCTTGGATATTTCAACTACACTGTAATTTTGAATTTGTTAATTCATTTCCATATACATACATTATAAAAATTAAATGAACAAATCAAGATTAAAATTGTAAAATTGTAAATGATTTTTAAACAAAAAAAGAATGTTAACACTATCACAAATTCTATGATTATTTATTTTTTAATTAAACAAGGTTTATCAGAACAAACATTACTTAAAACATGAGAGACGAACGTACATTTTGTATGTCACAGCCTTTTAAAAAATCAATCAATAATATGTGACAAAAAGTCATTATTAAAAAGATGTCACAGAAGGTCCAACTCAAAGCATTTAATAACATTTACAAACTCGTGCTGTCAACACTATTTTAGGCTATTGTATGCTTAATAATTGTGATGCAAATTATTCAAACCAAAGGGATACTGTAGTGTTCTCAGCAGGGTGTACACTAAAGGTTCCATCATCCATAAAGTATTTATCCTTTTAGAATCCAGTGACTTTTGTATTCATGTTTTTTTCAGTTCTTCATCCTATTTGGGGTTCTTGTTTAGATAATATTTTTGCCACGTCCACTCTGTTTATCACTCATGTTCAATTAAATAATTAAAAAAATGAGTAAATTTTTGCATTGGGGTGGAGCACAGCATACAGTAATGCTGCATGCAGTATGGAATGAGGTAGATGTTTGATGTACTGTGTGGCTAGGAGTGTGATACAGTCTTCATTGGTTGAAAATTGCACCATGCATAGTAGAATTAATCATTGAAATATATTTTGTAATATTCATTCAATAGGTACACCTCCAAGGAAACTACACTGATGCTATGAGAAAGCTAGATAGTACAAGAAGTGAGTATGAATTCCTGTATCTGTGATCAGTGACTATTTTCCAAAAGGAATTACCACATACTTTAATTTGGAAACAAATGTAGTTTGGATAATAACAACCAAGCCAAAATTTATGAACACATAAAACATCAGATTTACAGTATGTGAATTATTAATCCAGTCCCACCGCATGAACATGTTATTATCTTTTTCAATAGAGTACCAAACATATTCCTTCTTGTTGCCCGCACCTCTGCACGTAACAAGACAATGGTGATTGTTGTCGTTTTTAAATCCCTTTTTCCTTTTGATGATGCATCCAAAATTTCTATGAGAAAATAATAATCAGTTTTCACTAATTTACAAATTTCATGCTAAGTATCTATCTATCCACCTATCAGTAGTTGAAATATAAGCCCAACATAAAACAATAAATTGAAATTAGTATTATTATTATTTATGATGATATTTGGCCAGAGACTTGCTTGTAATTTAATAAAGATTCTTGGTCTTGTCCCAAGGGGAAAAAAAACTTATTTTCTTATTCTTCTAAATTTTATTCTCTATTATTTTCTTTTATTATAAATAAAGATATTCGCATTTGAGTTATTATTAATAATAAGGTTAGTACAGTATTCCTCCATGGTACAGTACAGTATCTAATTTTTTAAATCTTGTTAAAGATGAGTTTGATAATATGCGTCAAGAGTTTGAGAAATACCAGGAGATGCATGAAACACACAACAAACAACACAATGAGGATGTTCTCAGGACACAAGACCAGCTGCAAGAATGTGAAGTACAACGTCAACAGGCCCTTACGGTGAAGGACAACCTGCAAGCAACTTTACATTCTCTTCAGGCGGAACTACAGCAGGTGCGAAACCAATATCGTGCCGTTCAACGTGAAGGTTATCAGCAGTTCAACAACCAGCAGCAGTATAATCTTGGCCAGACACAGCAACTTCCTGCCGGACAACAACAACAACAACAACTACAACAACAACTACTGCTACAACAACAGGGAAATGTTTTGAGGAATCCTACATATGGGCAGCAAATCGGGCAACAACAGCAGCAGAACATGTTAAACCCTCAAGATGATAAGAATCAGTACAACTTCCAACAGAATGTGAAGACCAACCAGTATAACCCAAACCCACCTGTTGTCAAGGCAGAAACTGAACTTGTCAATCAACTGCCTCAACTACCACAACAAGAAATGTAAGTATTTATTATATTGTATTGTTGGTTAATATTATTTATGTCTTATTGTTTTACATACAAGCTCAACAGCTCTGAGTAAATTTGTCTTATGAGCCTAGTGGAAGTGTTTATTGAGAGAGTACTTCTATGTAGATTGCTATAAATTTAAGGTCATAGCAAACTAGCTGAATTAGGCTGCAGCATAACAATGGTCTATATGTCACAGTAGCTGACTAAATGTATGATGAATAAAAGGGTCACTTTTCAATTTTTAAATAAATAATTTGGTACCTAACCATGGAGTTTAATCCAATGGTTACAACTTTATCAGGAAAAATACATGGGGTTAATTATGGTTATACATGAACTTAAGAAAATCCTGACTGATTTTGCTTTAATATTTTCAGTGTTCAGTTACTTAGGCAACAGGACATTTTTTGTTGGCTGAACAATGTTACCAATAATATTTTTTGTTGTTGAATTTATAGTCAAGAAGAAGAGAAAAAAGAGGGAAATGAACCTGTAGAAGAACAGAAAGTTGAGGAAAGTGAGTAATCTACTGCAAAAAAAAAAAAAAAAATACTGGCTATAGAACTTTATAAATCTGTCCATGGGCTTCATCCGGGCCAACCCAACAAAAATTACTCAGGCTGTTTGTAACTTTCAACAGACATCAAAATGTAAATGTGAAGGAAATTTCAAAAATAATAATAATGCTTGCTCAAAATTAAATACCTTTTTATCATCTTATCTCATTCCTGGAATGAAAATCCTTTCAAAAATGATTGAAATATGATTGTTTTTCTCCACAGCACAACAGGAACAAGGCCAAGATCCTGGGCCTCCACAGATGGAGGTCAATGATGAAAAGGTAAACGTTCCAAATGAAGAAACTGGCAGCAAAGAAAATAAGAATGAAGAAGAAAATAAGAATGAAGAAAAAAATGAAGAAGAGGAAGAAAACCGGCAGCAAGATATGGCAAATGGTGGAGATGAAGATGATGAAGAAAATTTGGACGAGGAGGAAAAACTGGTAGATGAGAGAGACAGGGCACAGGGTTCACATGGCGAGAGAGTGGATGGCGATGAACAAAATGAAGATGCAGCTTATCGTGATGCACAGTTGGCCGCAGAGAAAGAAGACGAAAATGATAGTGACAAAGGAGATGGTAAGCAATATATGATGTCTTGTTAGAATGAGACTGGAGAGTTATTTTAGTGTTGAGAAACATTTTTGCTTAAATGATGAGTATGGAAGGCTAGCTAAATATGGGAAGGGCTACTATATGTAAATAGCAGAAGGTACAGTATATGTAAGTATAAAAGCAAGGTAAATTAGAATTGGGATATGTAATTTAATACCATGGATTAGGTAAATAATGGATGGAGATTGACTAGGTAAATGAGATACTGCTTCTACTATGAAAATTGAGAGTTGCATTGACCATTCCTGTTGAAACTAACAAAAAATTTCATTTTGTTTTTGCTTCAGATAACGAGATTAGGAATGAGGTGCAGGATGAGGTACGTAGCAGAATATTTTGACTTTTTTGTTTTTATTCTTTTTTTTTTCTTTCTAAATGTGCACTGTTATCAATATGGAGGTGTAAGTACAGTTTTGTTTTTATTGATTGAATGTCTTAATATTAAGTTGAAAGGTTCTGTTTATCAAATTGTTTTTCTGGAAAATCATGGAGTGAATTGTAGTATTATCAATTCTGATATTATTACTTTTGTTAATATACTTTACTGTATTATTGAGCTGTGGTTATCATTTTATTATCATGCCATTACCATACTTGTAAAATTAATATTGAATGTTAAGTAATTATGGTATTTTTTAAGGTTTGCACAGCAAATTAACAATAGTAATGTTTATGATACAAATTTTCTGAATTTGAATACGGCAAAGACATTTATTTGACAAGTTTAGATATTCTTAATACTTTACAAGTTTTTTAAGAACCATACATACCGGTAGGGTGTACCACAAATGTACACTATTGTTGTTATTGTTAATTTTGATGCCAACAAACTGAAAAATCTGTTAAATGAAGTTCATGATCAAATCAATAACAATTGTAGTGATGATGACCATAATATAGATAATAATGATATTGATATTAGCTATAAAGTTGATAAGTGTATTTCTTTTTCATAAAACTGGTTGTTTACTTGAGATCTAGAAGTGTCCATGAGAAATTTATTTTTTGGTAATGATCCTGGTTCATATTCAAAGTCTTTGATTTTGTTAAATTTTGTTCTTTTGCTCAATTTTTATACACAATTCTACAGCAAGTTGTATTAGATGCAAATCCCGTGCCATTGTTTAATGAAGATGAAGTTCAAAAGGATGGTGAGATTTGCCTTCAATAATGCACATTTTTCCCATAATCTATATTTTACACTTTTTAATAATTTCCAAATCCTGTTCATTCCATACATTTCATTCTTTCCATCTTCCTTTGGTGAAATATAAGCAAAGCAGTGTACAGCCTTTAAGACAATATTGGGTCAAATTTAGGTGGTTGGCTTATTATACCCCAAGACAAGAAAATGCAAATAGTATTGTTGCTAGACTCAAAGTTGTTTACAAGGTATAGCAACTCCCTGTTTCAGTATACCCAGCCCAGATTACCAGCCAAGCACCAAACAAATGCATGCATACTTGGCCTTTACTTAGAGATCATGTAGAGGTATTATAAATGTTTTCCTTAATTGGCAAGAACCTTTGTGAGGTCTCGCCACAAAATGAGTCTCATGGTTAGAAATTCAGAAATTGAGTTTAAGCTTTCATTTGGTTTTTGAATGGCTTCCCTACTATAAGTAAATCCAGAGATGTGAGCATTTAAAGTTTAGGTGTATAAAAACCACGTTTTGAGAAAATCGACCTCAAAAATAAACTAACCTGTACAAATAATATGACTAGAATTACAGAATATGTGCAGAGAACACTGTTTTGGCAAGAAAATTCACTTACAAAGTATACAATCATAAAATATAAGTATCAAGTTGTTCAAAAACATTAAAATCAAAATTTTGTAAAAATATTGACTTTGGCCTGTTTTGGTGAATATCTCAATATGATTTCACCAATGATGTGTCTCATTTCGTGGTGAGACCTCACATTTTTTCTCATTCTTTAATCTTATAGTTAAAAGCTGGTAATTTACTTAAATACACATAGTAAGCAATCCAAATATTTATAATTTAAATCCCACTTAATACTGTCTTGTAGTCTTACAGGTACAGTATTACATAATGTTACTTTCTATTATCATTTCCTTTTTTTATACAACCCTTTCTTTGTTCTACCCATAATGCACTATTTTGAATTTTAAAAAATATAATTAAAGGAAGGAAAAACATTTGAAAAAAAGCTATAAAAATACAGTAAATTAGCTCTTATATTTGTTCAGCCTCATATCCATTATTTCTGTTTGCTGTGCTCTGTTATTAAATAATTTATTGTCTTGTCACCACAAAAGGAGCCGAATGTTGACAAATTTAGAATTATATGTAATTGTAGATATTATTCTTCACTGATAGATTATAACATTTCAAACTGTGAAATTATCTATCGTTAGATTTGGTGGGAAATATTTAAAAAAATAAAGAAAACCTTGTCAAAAACCGGTATAATACGTTCGGGTTCCAATTTGGGTGCTTTTATGGTGAGAAGACCTTTGATATTCCTTTTTTCCTATTTTATCTTTCAATTTCTTGTTCTTCACTTACCTTCTATTTTTTTTAATTTGTCTTTCAAACTAGGGTTTTCCTTTATAATTCTACTTACAGTTTCTACATTTTTGCTGTTTATTCAATAGCCTCAAAATATCGTCCCCAACACACATTTACACATCGCTTGGTAACCCTTCTCCTGTCCAGTACACCTAAAGGTGGTATATAAACACAAAGAAAAATTTAACTTGCTTTCATGATTTCAAAACTCCTCCACCCCCATAGCTCACATACAAATAGTGCCATAGATATCTACTGTATAAAGCTTCTAATCTCAACATTTATAATATACCCCAAGTAAAAAGCTACTTCCTCTCCTCCCCAAGTAAACATTTAATTGTTCTCATGTTCTCAATATTCCCCTTTCCAACATACCTTCACACACTGTCAGACACATCTATATGCTATAATATTTTCTCTTCATATTATAATGTTTACATATGTAACCCATTAAACACCCACTCATGCATATAGCAGCCTAATGTTTTTTTGTTTTTTCCTGTTATTCTTGTAGTATGAACATTTTGGTTTTAAAATGAACACCTTTTTAAAATATATTGAACATTTTTTTCATCTAGGTTTAATAGCAGAGAGCAAGGATTATGCAGAGTGTAAATCATTTTTGTTTTAGATTTTCAATTCGTTTGTAGATTGCATATCTGTAAATGGATAAGTATTGTATATCAATGAATTGCCAATTATGGAATAGTATTGTATAAATTTAATACATTTTGTTATTTAGCACACATTTGTTGCAATGCATCTTTATATTAAGTAGAATATTGGTTCTTTTATTGGTCTAACATTAAATCTTTATACAGATATGCTTTCATGCAGATGTTTAATGGTGCTAGTGTTTTACTACTGAATAATTTTATTTGCAGTGCCCTTTTGAAACTAATCCTAACAGCATTTTTTTTTATGACAAGACCTATTGAATGTTCAATACATATAACAGACGAATGCCTCTATTGAATACTCAATACTGACAGTTGCCTCTAATACCTAATTCACACAAGGCAAAAATTTTCTCTGGGTATGCATTAAATGTTACTCAAACTTCTAAAATTATTCCTTCAAAAATCACATCTTCTTTACGTGATTGTATTCAATCCTTGTTGAAAGTCGGTCCAATTGTTACATAGACAGTGACGATATGGACAAGGCCACAATGAAGGTAAGCTCTATCCCTTGAGCATACGCGCACATATCCAGAACATAGAGTCTGGTCACTCACTGCCCCCAACAGTCGATTCTATGGAGAACACACCACCATAACGTACACACAACAGATTGTTTTTAATGACGATCCGTTCAGAATTCCACTGACAGTCAGCTGACAGAGTGGAGTCTTCTAATGCTCACAGGGAGGAAGATTGGATTCGTCGGCCGACGGTTGGATGACGCAGTGAGTGCCATGCTTTACATGCCTCTGCAATATTTTTCTTAAATGGATTTTACACGGGAATACACATTAATCAATTAATAATTAACCGGTGCACCTTTACACGGACCCATTGTAGCAGAAAAGGCTTCTTAAATTTTTCCTACCATGTGTACAGTGTAATACTTGATCTCGTGTGAATCTGGTATTAAACTCATAACTTCTGCCCGGGGAGGTACTTTCACAGATTGAGGATCTATACCACCCTCAGCCCCACCATGGTTGGGGCTGAGGTAAGAAAATTTGTGATTATGCACCTCTAGATGGCTGGAAATTGTACTTCCAGACTTATAAATTTTGAATATAATTATCTTTATATCTCTATTTTAAAAAAAATTTTGAATAATTTAGGGGAGGCCTGGGCTGACGGGGGAGGGGGGACTCCCCCTTGAATCCGCCACTGGAACTTTTACCTGTTTTTCCTAACATACGGTGATACAGCCGTATTCTACACTGTGGCTCAACCAGCAAATATGTAAATGAAGCCACTTGTTGAATCATAGCTAATTAGATGACATATACCAAAAGATCCACTGATTAATCTTGGATAAGAAAGTATAATACATCATATCATACTCCCAAGTATTGAAATGCTCGACATCGTGTTGGGATTCAGTATTTCAACATTAATTATGTCACCCGATGACAGATCACTGGAATGTTTGGTTTCAACTGAAGAATGTTTGGAGTTGGAGATAAAATAAAAGATATGCAGTTCACTTTTACGTTTATTTCACATAACTATATATGTGCACTTGGATGATAACATAATTTGAAGTATGAGAAATGTTCAAAGAACAAGTTTGAAAATTATCGTATTTCATTTAAGGATTAAGTATATTATCTTGTACCTTGATTTGTGAATCCACTGCCTAACGATATTGATGATTTTTTCAACCTGATAGCACACCTGCCTCTCTTAAAAATGTATTTAATTCTGCTTATGCTGCCATTAATTCCCCTTAAAAAGTCTGTATTTTCCAACACAGTATATAATTATAACAAATTGTATCAATTCCAAAACTATTTATTGCGATGTAAACTTTTTAGTGATCAGTGATGATAAATGATTTATATTTATTTAATTTTGATTAAAACTTAATTTCTCTTGGAAGATTTCAGGGTGGCAGCAGGTGAAACAAAAATGGTTAAAGAATTGTATATCAATTTTATTTAATTAATTATTATCATGCGGTACTGGGTTAATGAAACAAGGTACAAAACAGTGTCATCTAATACTATCAATAGTTGTTGATTCAAACTAAAAATCTGGTCTTTGTATTTATATATACTGTTGTAGCAAGGTGCTACAACTAGGTTGTAGATAGACATTACTGAAACCGATGGATTCTTACAACTAGTTTACAAGGGTGAAATAATCCAAAAATGACTCGATATAAATATGTGATCAAATTAATGTTTTATTAACTTTGTATACTATGTTGTATTGGTAATAACAAGAGTCAATCTATTATTATGTGTTGTTTGTTTCCTGTATATTGGTATGTAGAGTAGATGCATATGTATGGGTTGTTTGTGTGTAATTTAATGGCCATTCATTTTGTATCCAATTTTGTTTCACAGGATAAATATCACCGATATCACTCATGTGTTTAAAATGTATGTACAGTAATATCTGTCTCTTATACACATCTAGATGTGTATAAGAGACAGCTAATCCTAACAGCATTTTTTTTTATGACAAGACCTATTGAATGTTCAATACATATAACAGACGAATGCCTCTATTGAATACTCAATACTGACAGTTGCCTCTAATACCTAATTCACACAAGGCAAAAATTTTCTCTGGGTATGCATTAAATGTTACTCAAACTTCTAAAATTATTCCTTCAAAAATCACATCTTCTTTACGTGATTGTATTCAATCCTTGTTGAAAGTCTTTCACATAACTATATATGTGCACTTGGATGATAACATAATTTGAAGTATGAGAAATGTTCAAAGAACAATTATTGTATTTCATTTAAGGATTAAGTATATTATCTTGTACCTTGATTTGTGAATCCACTGCCTAACGATATTGATGATTTTTTTCAACCTGATAGCACACCTGCCTCTCTTAAAAATTTATTTCCTTCTGCTTATGCTGCCATTAATTCTCCTTAAAAAATCTGTATTTTCCAACACAGTATATAATTATAACAAATTGTATCAATTCCAAAACTAAGTATTGCGATCTGAACATTTTAGTGATCAGTGATGATAAATGATTTATATTTATTTAATTTTGATTAAAACTTAATTTCTCTTGGAAGATTTCATGGTGGCAGCAGGTGAAACAAAAATGGTTAAAGAATTGTATATCAATTTTATTTAATTAACTGTTATCATGCGGTACTGGGTTAATGAAACAAGGTACAAAACAGTGTCATCTAATACTATCAATAGTTGTTGATTCAAACTAAAAAACTGGTCTTCGTATTTATATATACTGTTGTAGCAAGGTGCTACAACTAGGTTGTAGATAGACATTACTGAAACCGACGGGTTCTTACAACTAGTTTACAAGGGTGAAATAATCCAAAATGACTCAATATAAATATGTGATCAAATTAATGTTTTATTAACTTTGTATACTATGTTGTATTGGTAATAACAAGAGTCAATCTATTATTATGTGTTGTTTGTTTCCTGTATATTGGTATGTAGAGTAGATGCATATGTATGGGTTGTTTGTGTGTAATTTAATGGCTATTCATTTGGTATCATACTTTTTTTCACAGGATAAATATCACTGATATCACTCATGTGTTTAAAATGTATGTACAGTAATATTGCAGCCATCTTGCTTGTGGTGAATCTTGACGAATTTCTGTTCCGTGTCAAATTCCAATGATATCTCTGACAAACAACAGCCTTTGTGACAAGAGCATTATGCAAGGGTGGGCATAAAAATTGGGTCAAATTTATTTTTTGATTTAACACTAAGGGCCACACGCATACACAGACGCTTTATGGTGAAAATTTGACGATTCCAATGTTCTTTTAGAAACCTTAATGGACTGCTTTTTTAGACAAGCACCCACCAACAATGATGATTTCGAAGAAAAATGAAATTTTATGTTTGACCAATTAACGCAACCATCACCACGAAAAAATGGAAATTTTAAAAAATGAAAAGTTTTTCTTGATTTTTATATGCCAGCCGCTGCCTTGAATTCTCCAAAAAAGAGGATATATATATTTCTACCTAATTATATAAATTTAAAGCACTTAACCATCCCATTACTACACTGTTTACATTTTTATCGTCTCCGTATGTTTTTGGCAAAACTCTTTGCTAAATAAAAAACCAAAATTTTATTTTCATTTTTTCCCACCCTCATCTGATGATCTGAAAAAAATAAGTTCGCAAAATAAGGTATAAAAAAGTCTCGCTTATGTGCTCATTTTTAATGTTACTTTTACAGATGATAGACATCAGGCCAAAACAACCAGGGGTTTATTTGCCACAAGGTGGTAGTCACGCCACATACATAGGGTTTTAAAATTACCTTTGCAGGCCGCAACAAAATTGCAATCAGGCTGCATTTTGCCCGTCTGTGCTTTACAGAGACTTCCAATAATACATCATCTTGACAAGATACTTGGACCTGATTGACTCATTCCGTGCACTCTCACCCCACTGGTGCTGCCACTGCCCACCCCACATACATGATTTTTGATTCTGTTTATTTTCTAATCAAAAATTGATGATTAAACTTTCATTTTCTGATGCATATAACTTGTGTGTTGTGCTCATTTTTATGTAAAATTTTTAACAATGGTGGGTTCATAGAAAATGTATCCATATTGTCGCTGAGTTGTTTGAAACAGTTTCACTTTTTAATGTTTGGTGGTTGGAATGTTTAGTACATGTTTGTGCATGTATATATGTATGTATATTATGTAGGCATGTGTAATGTTTGTATGTACGGTAAAAGACGTAAGGGTTATCAAACACTGTAGCATGTATTTTGTTGACTGCATACAGTTCTCAGACACATGTTTGCACCATATGCTGTTTACATTCTGAATGTAAACATACTACTACTGTATTAATTATGGTTTAAATAATATAAATTTACATTGCTTATAGACCATATGTTTTATCTTTGCATTTTGGGCATTAACTGAATTATATCAAATTACTGTACATTAATTCAGCATGAGTAGTACAGTATTGCATTCTGCTTTTCCAACTGGTCCATGTTTAATATTTATCCATTATTGAATTGGATTTATTTGGTGTTAAACACCAAGGATAACCCAGCATTCTCATTTAACTGCAGTCAAGGTTAGATTTAAGACACTGCGCTCCGTTTCCAGCTGCTAGTAAATCTAGAGCTTATTAGCATACGTTTGGGTGTTATGCTTTATACTGTATTTGTAAGCTATCCACCATTATAATTTAGTGCCTGTCGAGGCCCATTTTTTGTATATCAAAACATATTTTGTATTGTTAATCTAAAATATGATGCAAGTGAATTGTATAATTAGCGGTCAAAGTTTTCACCTTCCATTTACAAGGTCGATGGTTCAATTCCTGAACATGCTTGACTTATTAATTTATGATTTAAATACACAGTTGTACATTACCCATGTACATTATAATTATTTCTGTTATTGGCAGTTCCTTCCCATTGTTTTATGTGCATGATTTTTAATCAATTATATAATGCATATTCACCTCTTATTACAGGGGAAGAACTAGATGGTGTTAACAAAGATGAGAATGGAGGGGAAGAAGAGAATGGAGGGGAAGAAGAGAATGGAGGGGAAGAGGAGAATGGAGGGGAAGAGAATGGAGAAGAAGAAGAAGAAGAAGAAGAGGAAGGGAATGTAGGGGAAGAAGAGAATGGAGAAGGAGGGGAAGATGAGGAAGAGATTGATGTACCAGACAATTTTGAAGCTCAATATAGAAACAAAGGGGATAATGACCAGAACAAAGATGATGCTAATGATGCTCATGACATGGGGGATAATGGTAATCAAGACAATGATGACTATGCATAATCATCATATTAAGGACTTTGCAGTTAAAAGTCCTTGGTCATATTAAGCAATATAGTTCCTTTTTAGTTTAAATTCTTATGTTTAAAAAATAGATCTAAATAATGTTGTGGGTTGTTTCAGTCTTTCAGTTAGATATACAAAAATATTTAGTTGATTTTGTCACACAGATGTCCATAAATTATATTAATTATAACATGCACCTCATAACATTGTGTCTGCATTTTGCAAAGGGAAATCGTTTTGTAAACACATGTATTTTTGTATTCAAGCTTTTTGATCAAAAGACTTCAATGATAAATTTAGTGAATACAAGATCGTTATAACGAGTTTATGTTACAAAATTCAATAATAGGGTTAGTTATTAAATAAGCATTTCTAGCAGTTATTATTATTATTATTGTTGTTAATTATTGTTGGTGATTAATGGTGCAGTATTCTGGACATATTGTATTGTATTTGCTTTTTTCAGTTTGTAGCTAAAGGCCAACAGACAGCGTTGTATGATGCAGCCCTACGTTACTCATCGTCACGAACAGTCTTAAGCTGTCGTGAGAAATATTTAAAATGTTTAAAATTCTATGACTCGACTGTTCCCGATGCAAACCCTTGCATCTGCATTTAACTTGCACTGACACGACACAGCAACAAATCATGTCGAGCTGCATCGTATGACGCTGTCTTGAGTTGGCCTTAACTATACATTTTAGTTATAGCATACCTTTTCAATAATGTTAAGTAGGTACAAATATAATATACTATGTATCTACATCATTAGATTTTAAATAAATATTTAATTATATCAAAGGACCATACAGTATATGGTATTGACATTTTCCAGTCCTAATGATAAGACATCTCAGGCGCGTACCGTGAAAGAAAGTGCCCTTTAAATATGCTCGCTTCACTCACAAATAACGCACCCCGCGAATTCTGAAAGCTTCGCTAAATTGCTCCGAGTTCAGCTCGCCCCCTGCGCTTTCGTTTCGAACCCCCTTAGATTTTTCACCGTACGCCCCTGCATCTTGTTATTATATTCAGGGCTCACAGTGTTAGGGAAATTTGGTACCTTTGATATAAGTAGTTATAACTAGATTACTAGGTAATGTCTGCTTACTAGGTAATGTCTGCTTACTAGGTGATACCTTGGATTACTGCAATAATAATCTACTTAACTAGCTGACAGTTTTAAGTCTTCTTATAGACACTGAGGTTGATTTTTTTTTTTAAGTATTAAGCCGGGCACTCACTACGCACGACGCCATTCTATCAAGAACGCAACGCGACGACACGCGCGCAACAGATCATTTTTAATGACGATCTGTTCAGACTGCTGCTGAAAATCGGTAGACGGCGTCGCGTTGTCCATCGCTCGCAGAGAGCAGTGTTAGATTCATCATGCGACGGTCGTACAACGTAATGAGTGGCTGGCTTTACAGGTACAGTAGTTGCTTTGTAATGGTTCTCTTATTTCAAAATCACATGCAAGTAGAATTCATTGGCAAGAGCAGGTGTTATTCAGAACTGATGCTGGCAGGCTATTTACTATTAATTGTATTTTCTAAAAACAATCACCAGTATTATACACTATCAATGTCTGGGAGACTAACTAACTGGTTGCATAGGTGCCATTCAATTTTTTTCAAGAGAGTACAAAAACTTCCGCTACCCTCCCTCCCCTAACAAGTTACATAAAATGATTTTTGTCAATTAGAGAATATAATTTTTTCATAAAAAAATACATAAACTGTTCAATCCTATCGAAAGTGATGAAAAATAGATGACCCTAGGCAGAATATAAAAAAATGTTTATTGTACCATGGCAATCATGTTACGATCCTTTTCATTGTGAACTGTGAATGTTAATTCTACATTTGGAGGGATTGGATTGAAAAATCATTTAAATAGTAATTTTTAGTTTCTCTATCATTCATTTTAACTTTATTGTTTACTTGGATGGTAGATGTGCTGTGAATAGTCACTAGACATTAAATCAGACAGGCCTATTCTTCATAATTCTAAGAAACATTTATCAAGATGGTTTAAATTTATTAATTTATATAAAAGACCATGTGTATAGGGTTGCGATTAAATCACTTGGGCTGCTAATTTGAATCTGATATTGTGTATGCCCATCAAAGCCTCAGAGCATGCAGCCCAATCTTTCACCAGCCTCACCTTGTGCTGTATAAATGTGTGTGTTTATTGTACTCTACTACCAAATCCTATTGTCAATACATTTCCTGCTGGGGTAAGTATGGTAAACGCGGTCCACAGAGTCTTAAACGCAATAGATAGAACATCTCGTGCATGTTTAATAACCATGCTGAGAAAATATTAATTTGTTTCGGATGATTTTTGCTGTAAAATAAATTTTTGATAAGAATTTTATTTTCCGCCATTTGTTTTTGGTAGTGTATATATTTGTTGGACTGTATTATTTTAATCATTAAATATATATATGGGGTACATAATGTACTTAAGTTCTGTTTTAATTCGTAAGTAGGAATACTTTTTAGAGCATTATCTATCACAATACCCTTATTTTATTAAAATTATACATGATTCCAACTAAATTTTTAATTGTATTTTTTTTATCCCATCATTTAGTTTTTATTTTTAGATATGAGAACATGTTTATTAAAATAAAACTGATTTTAATTATTGTAGCTAATTTCTATTTTAACTTTTTAAATGGATTACTATTATTGTTTTACTTGATAATTACAATATAATTAAAGTACCATATATACTCTGTACTGTATTATAATTATGATCATTAATGATCATTTGGACATTTTAATTAAACTGATAATGAGCATTTGTAGCAGAATACCTAATGCCACCACTACTGAAACAGTACCATTAATAATATTACACACAACTTTTAATGTTATCATTGTTATCAATACATTATTGATAACAGGTACAAGAACTCAATAAAATGTTGTGTTCAAACAGGTTGGATTGAAACCTGCATCAGTACAGTGTATGGTAATAGGGGGCTTTCGTTTGTACTGTTTGGTGCAGCGGGAACGGTTTGGTTTCCCAATCACAAGGTCAGAGTTTCAATCCCTCGCGCTGCATTTCGCTTGTGTCCTTGAGCAAGGTACTTTATCTGCATTGCTTCTCTCCACCCAGGAGTATAAATGGGTACCTTGTGGGGTTGAGGCAACACTTAACCCAATGACCAGGGAAAAGAACTGCACTGTATAACCTCAAGGAAGAGGCGCATTATAAATGCCAGTATCATTCGATAAAATCTAGAACATACAGGCATCATGTAAAATTATCTGCGCATGTGAGGATGTTTATTTTTTGTCTGAATTCTAGGATGCAGTTTGGCCCAAATCTATGACAATAGAATCTGTCTTGGGCTCAAGCTACATAATCGAAAGCTCCCTAATTGTACAGTTTCAAGTTGTCAGGATATGTAAATAACATTATGTAAGACCTTGCATGTTTTGTTGTGGATAAACAAATGCTCATCAAATTAATCTTCAGTTTATCAGTAGATAAAAGATGGACTACTTACACAATTCTCTTGTTACCTCTAGCTTTCTTAGTTTTATGTTAGTGATGTGGTACAATTGGAGGAGAAAATAATAAAACTTTAAAAAACAAACAGTTTTTTTGCACATATCTGATTTTAAGAGTCTAATAACCATTTCTTATAAAGCTGATATTTAATGCCAGAAGTTGATACAATGACTAAGTATGATGGAAGAATTGAGCTGTATAAAATTGCCAGAAATTAAAAGACAAATATGCAATTAATATCTTGTAAAATTAGGATCATTTTCCAATGCAAAAATCTTTGAACACAACATCCAGAATGTCCTCGGCACCAACTTTACCAGTGATTTTACCAAGCTGTCTGAGGCTAATCCGTAGGTACACGGCTGCTAAGACCACGTCAGACTGGTGAAAGAAATCCTCAAGGGCTGCCGTAGCCTGCTCTAAGTGATGTCTGTGACGCTGCTGGGTCAGGCTTGGAGAGTGTGATTGTGGATTAATACACCTGGGGACCGAGAAAATATTACAGCAAGTCTAATACTCCTATGTATGAAACGGTCGTCAACCAACACGATTCTATGAAGAATGCAATGCCACAATGTGTGCGTGCAAACGGATCGTTTTTAATGATGATCCGTTCAGACTGCCAGCGACAATCAGCAGACAATGTCGCGTTGTCTATTGCTCAGAGGGAGCGGAATTGTATTCATCGTACGACCATTGTAAAATGCAGTGAGTGTCGTGCTTTAAAGCCCTTCAAATCCTAAATTCTTGGAGCTCTTAGGAAAGTAAATTCTACCCCTGGGAATCTTGTCAATCCTATTTATGTACAAGTCTGTGATACATATATACCTTAGATATTCCAATTTAATAGAGGGAGGATCAAAAGTGGTTTCAACTTACATATGCTCCACCTTTTTTGCTAGAATGCTCAACAAGTCTTCAATTCCTTCTCCTGTTTTGCAGGAAATTAAACAGCAATGCATATAATCATCATTATCATGTCTTTGCTTCTCACTTCCATTTAGTTCTTGGATTAAATGTTTTAATTTATATGAACTCTCTACCGGGACCACATCTGATTTGTTGATTACGATCATGTAATCGAGTGATGATGCCTCTGGGTTCAAAGAGGTAGATACATTGCTTAGGTAAGTTCTAAATGACAGTGTACTGACAGAATGTTGAGCAGCTTCTAAAGCATCTGTCATTAAAATCACTACATCTGCCTCATGTGCACTGAAAATATGAATATGCAAATATATGTATGAATATGTAATTATATATACACACACACTCTGCACTGTATCAGAACATCTACAGTAGTTCTTTGTATGATAAAAATAAATATTTTCTAATATGAACCAATATACAAATACAGTATGTATAAATAGAATTATATATGAACACTCTACTGTACTAAAACATTGTAATAAATGATTACAAATGTTCTTGGTATTTTTATATGTTTTCAATCCTGACATAGAAAAGAAAATGAAACATTTTTTTAACAAATAATAATCACATGATATTTTACTTATCCATACTGAGACTCTATTTTTATCCATGACCTGTATGAATTGGAAACTATTTGAAAAATTGATACTTTACCTTTCTTTGGCCCTCTTGATGCCTTCAATTTCGACAGAGTCCTCAGAGTGACGTACACCAGCAGTGTCACTCAAAATGACAGGATATCCACCAATGTTAACAGTTGTCTCAATGACATCACGCGTGGTACCTGCTGTTGGTGACACAATTGCTGCTGGCCTTTGACCTGAATGCACCATGAAATGAACATATACCAGGTAATGTAGTATAAAAAATATAGCTGTATATAGTATACTTTATAGAGTATATATACAGTATGTATAAATATATATACAGTATATAAATTAGAAGACAAACTATTTATTGTCTATACTATACATTAGCATAATTCTTGGTTTAAAAACCTTGTACAGTACATATATATTTTGTGTCAAAATTTGTATTGATAATAAATAAATATATAACAATAATAATAATAATAATAATAATAATATAGCTTACATATGTCATTGAGTAAGCTGCTCTTGCCTACGTTAGGGTGGCCTAAGATAGTAACGTGGACACCATCACGTAGACGTTCTCCACATCTCTTGTCTGCAAGATGATGACAAATTTCGGCGTGGATATGGCCTACTTGAATGCGTGCTAGGAACATAAAACATCATTTGTTTCTTTTTTTTTCAAGTCAAGACAGCTGGTATCTATGTTTATGATATACAGTATTGGGAATGTTTGAATTATTGAATGAATGTCTAATATTTTAATATTTTCTCTGTCAGATGCTTCACATATCACAAAAGAGATTTGATACTGTACCTGATTCACACTAAACACAATGTTACATGCGAACCATACTAGGGAAAAATTAAATTAGCAAACAACACCTGCTTCCATGTGAAGACACATTAATGTCTGTGTCCTGAACTATAATCACCATGCAAGAAATATTTAAAAGAAGAAAGACATTGCAGAGGCCTGCAAAATTGGGCACACATGGCCGTTAGCCAGCACATTGGCTTGAAACACTTTCGAGACTATCAAATTTTATTTGACAAAAACATGTAACAAGCCTAAATATGGCCATATTGACATCACATCATTACCATATATATCATATATATATATATATATATATATATAGTGTGGGCAGAGCAAACTATGGTCTTGCATGTATTTGTCTGTAGATAAATCATCAATTTGCTTGTGTTAAGATGAAAGTGATATTTAGGACTTCTTCAAGAAAGTAACTTATGTATGGCGGTATACCTCTACTGATGTTGATTAAAGATGATAATAAATATTCCAGAAAACCGACCTTCCGATTACCGTTCGGATATTCTACCAACTGAGCTATGAGACCAAGTGGTATACATCCTGGGTTTTCCCATTACAACACATTTTGTTCTCAAGTTCAAGTTCAAAATTTATTGTCATAAATAAAGTAAATGAAATTTGTTTTTAAGGTTCACAATAAAAACAGTGACATACTAAAATACCATACAAAGGATACGGTATAAAATAAGTTAACCTGTATGCATAAAATGATATAAAACATTAGAAATATAAAAACAGTGCATAAAAACATTGCAAGGTACAGTATTGCGTAATACGCAACGAATAATTGTAAATCCATGAAAGTAACTTCGGTACGGAGATATATACCTCCACTGATGTTGATTTAAGATGACAATAAATATTACCTTTTTCAAGTATGTCATCTTCAATATTTTCTTCCTCACTGAAGTCAATGAAAGCTTCAATATGTGCAACACACTATAATAACAAAATGTTTAAAACAATTAAAAGCCAATCAAACAAGCTTACGAATGATCTACATTATGTCATAACAGCATGACACTAAATTACATTTAGGAAAAAAATTACAAACCATAAATATTACGACTCCTATATCCATTTATATTTGCCTAGTACGAATGAATTTTAAGGAGGTTGAATTATAAGGTGCTTTCCATATTTATTTATTTATAATAACACATAAACCTTAAGAAGTTTATCAGTCCACATTTGGTACAGGCGGCTTAGGTCCCCTTTCATCTGTCGTAATGCTTGCTTCCGTTGTGCTTCAGTCTCTGCATGGATTAGATCTCCGAGGCCTTCAACTTCTGTCAAATCTAATTTCCCATTCAGGAAGGCACTGTTTTAGAAATAAAAAAGACCTACAAATGTTAATAACATAAGCTATTAATTCTATTTTAATGCTCACTATTAGAACCTGCTGCCTATATTATTTCCATCCTTTACACCTCCCTCTTGCACCTTCAACCTTTATCCCCCCCCCCCACCTCCCTTGACACATTCTGAATTTCTACTCAGCCTCACACCTTGAATCAAATTCCTACCAGTACCTACTGTTTGCCCTCCGATTCGAGACCGCCTTTTGGACCTTAAAATTTGTGAGCTTGAGGTTCGGTCTTCTATTAGGGGGGTTAGCTTTGATTTTTATTTGGTTCTTTGAAAAAGTGGTCTCGAAAAAGAGGGGTCTCGGAATTAGATGGGTCTCGAATTGGAAGGTGCACTTTATTTTTTTCTTGTCCACCTCCCTCCTCAGCCTCTCCATGGCATTATTACATTCAATACCAAATATTCAGCATCTAAAAAATACAATCCATTGTATTTAAAACAAAAATCTGCAATACAAATTTTCTTTTTCATGTACATAAAATAAATCCTTGCCGAAGCCACAAGGGCCCACAGAGCTGGAGCTTCCCCAGTTTCAAGTAGCGTGAAGTTGATGAGAGTGTGGTCCTCCTCCTGGGTGGGACACCAGTCCACCACAGGTTACTCCAATTTGCTAGTACCGATTGATACAGCCAGGTAGACTGAAGTGCTTTAATCAAGGACACAAGCAAATGCACAGCAAACGATTGAAACCTCAACCTCGAGGTTAGCAAACTTAAACTGTTTCCACTTCGCCAAACCGCCTTTACTCTTTGCATACAAAACGGTACATACCGCTTTGTAAATTCCCCAGTCTCTGCTGGTCGAAGTCCCTGCAATTTACCCAGGGCAGCATGTATTGCCTGTATGACTGCAGGCCCTCCATGGACATGATACTCACATGTATCTTCTCCAGTGAAACTGTTTGGTCCTATTCATAAGGAAAGAATGATGAATAATGTAAAATATAACATTTTGATATTATTATAACCCTTTATTTTAAATGGGATTCTAAAACACGAAGGTTGATGGTTACTTTTTAGCATTTTAATGAAAAAGGAACATGTACACACTTCATAATTTTCACCATTTTACTTTCTTTAGTTACATTATCAAAAAAAATAGTAAATCCTTGCTGTGTCACAGGGCTTATACTTGGATTGGAGCTTATCCCCAGTTTCAAGTAGTGTGAAGCGGATAAGGGCGATGCTCCCCTTGGTGGGACGCTGGTCCACCGCAGATTACTCCCAGCAATTTACTGACCCACTTATACAGCTGTGTAGACTGAAAGCAATATGTAGATAAAGTGCCTTGTTCCGGGACACAAGCAAAATGCACAGCGATGGATTGAAACCCTGACCTCAAGGTTGGAAAACCAAACCATTGTCACAGCGCCAACCTGCCTCCACACCTGCATTATAATTTTATATACATTTTTTTCCTTTGTAAACGAGTCCAAGCTTATGGGGCTTTCGCATCCGCTGGGGTTTCTTAATAATGGCACCCAGTTTTTAGAGAAAATCTCCCTCCCGACTATCGAACAAAACCCCTGTCAGTTGTGGAACCAATTGGGGGACGGGGAGCATTCCCGCCATCCTTCGTTACATGCAATGTCATGTATTCAAATAAGACAAACCCTGCTTCAAAAAAAATGAATCCACCCCTGTATATTTTGTCCTCCTTTATTTTCCCCTCCCAATCTAATCAACACTGGCGCCACCAACGACTAGTATAACATTTTTAGTGCCACATCCGACAATGGAGAGTTAAAAAATAAGAATTGATACCGTAAGTCAAATCTCATTGAACTCAGATTTTTACGATTGTACAGTTTTTTTTTTTGTTTTTTTTTTGTCAATTTGTATAAGAAAGAAATACAATCTAAATGGAAGAGTGCATATTATATTTAGGCCTACCTGGAAACCATAAAACAAGTGCTTTGTCTAAATGATCCCTATTTGTAGGGTTGTAAAGGTTGGCTAGGGTTGCCTGACGGGGTCTTGGAAGACGACTTCTCCCCGTTAAGCTCATGATTGTTGATCGAACATGTGGGCCTGACACTCTTATAACTGCAACACCACATTTACCAAATCCAGACGATAATGCAAATATGGTTCCACGATATATGTTTTGTGAGAACCTTCTAATGTGCGAAACCAAAACCATTGCCTAAAAAAACTATAGTAAACATTCAAATTAGTTACGATGTAGCACACATACAACAACACCACCAACGCAGGCACCGTACCACCTCTCAATTTTGTTTTGTTCGTCATGGTTGACTTATCTCAGGATATGCTTTTTTTTGGGCAGGGGTGTATTTGAGTAATCACATATGATCTTGAGTTACTGTGCGTTCTTAGCCTAAAGTTTCTTCTTCGAATACAAAATGTGTATATTTATTTTGAAAATGCAATTTTGCTTTTTAATATTTAGTTATTTTACCTCAAAATATAGACTAATTCGTATTCAAATAAAATTCTCCTTTTAATAAAATCGTCTAACCCATCTATTGTTTAAAAAACATAAAAGCCCCATGATGTAATGTTACTTGTTTAGAAAGCTGCAAATTCTGTAAAAAAAAAAGTACATTACGACTAGCGAGTTGTTAGAGAAGCAGTATTCTGTTTTGTTTTGCAAGAGTGTAGGCGGGTTATAGTACTAAGTAACTAAGTACTCTACGGTATAGTTAACATTTTTATAGCTTTTTTATACCTTAAATCGTAGAAATTGTATTTTTTCCAGTATAGTAGACCGTCAATGTGGTAGTCAATGTTTGCCTGCCCAGAATATGTCTATTAGCAGGAACGTCCTATAAATAGCACTCCCTGTTGTGTTTGTGAAGTGAGGGGAGAAGCACCTCTTCGGTCTGTCTGGTTGGTCAAGTATAGCTAGTTAGTAAGTATTGTATTGTAGAATATAGTTAGAGATTATTAATTATAATTATACAGTATACAAATAGTATTTAAGGCCTTTCTAATCAGTGGAACGGCGTCTTATTGGCTCCCTGCCAAGTCCAAGTTGGAATTTCCCAGACACATTTTTTCACTGTTATTTTATATTTGTATGATATATATATATATATATATATATATATATATATATATATATATAT